GCCATCTCCAACATAAATCCATCTTTCAAAATCAATTGGCTTCCAGTAGTTTAGACAACCCTTTCTTTTCACGCCAAGCATGATATTTATCACATTTCTTCTTTACGTGTCCAATCTTATTGCAAAAGAAACATTTATTTTCTTGAGTTTGTTTCTTTTATTCTGGACCCTTAGCAGTTTCTTTCTCGAGATCCTCTGATCTCTTTCTCTTTGCCCTTAGCCTTGGAGGTGCTTGCAAAATGAGCACTTTCTGTCTTGTCTTGCTTTAGTCTTTCCTCTTCTTGTACGTAACGTGAAATGAGCTCATTAAGAGACCATTTATCCTTCTAACAGTTGTAAGATACCTTAAATTGATTAAACGTTGCAGGAAGAGAAATCAACACCAAATGAATGAACAAGTCTTCTGAGAGTTCAAGCTTTAGTGCCTTGAGTTTAAAAACAATATTAGACATGCTCATAATGTACTCCCTGATATTTCCTTTGCCTTGATATTTCATGGAGATCAAGTTCTGAAGAAGAGTGTTTGCCTCCGCCTTATCGTTTTTTGCAAAGCGCTGCTCAATTTCAGCAAGAAATTCTTTGGCACTTGTGATGTTTTCAGAAACAGTGCCACTAAACACCTCCGGGATGCCGCACTTAATGATCATTAGACTCATGCGATTTGAGCGATCCCACTTCTCATATTCTCTTTTCTGTTCAGAGGTACTTGAATCCGTAGGAGTAGGGGGTTGCTCAGTCCTTAATGCAAGATCTATATCCATGCAACCAAGAATAATATCAATGTTCTCTTTCCAGTCCTTAAAATTTGTTCCATTGAGGACCGGAATAGAATTTAAATTGGCAGATACAGAAACAATTGTAGCTGAATTTAGAACACGAGAAATAAACTAATTATGCTCACATTATATAAAAAATAAATAATATATATTCAAATAGTGGTTTAACCCATCTCAAGACACTCAATGCACCATCAATATCAAGTCTTTGGACAGTAATATTAACTGCTAGAGGAATCTTGTTGTAATAATCAAACATTGACAATAAAACACGTCTAACAACAAACCAGTCTTTGGATTGATTTATTATCGACAAAGTAAATCTTTATAATTATCACATGTTTATCATTACAAGTGTGTATGCAATTCGGCCAAATATTAATCTTCCTTTGGGCCGACTAATACTCGCATGAATATACACAAACACTAACATTCAATATTTTTCTTAAACTGCCCAATTCAAGAGAGGTTACTTTGGTGATTTCTTGACTTAATTTGCTCACAAAAAATATTAAACTACCAAAAAATTGAATATTTTATTTATATAACAAAACCAAATATTTAATATTTGCAAACTAATTCAAAAGAGAATCATCTCATTAGAATTCTACTAAGGATAAACAGTTTCCTAGAACCTCATTAGGGATGAACACCTCATTTGAACAAATCAAAGGATGGAAAAAGGCCTCATTTTCCACCAATACATAAAGGATGAACATGTCCCTAAAATCACACTAGGGATGAAACAGAGATAGTTCTGAGTCTCTTTAGCATACTGCTCTAAACCCTAAAAGGGTATTAAACAGTAATCATTCAAACCCTAAACAGGGGGATTTAACATCAAATTCTCCTAAAGGCAATAAAATAAGAACAGTCACACCTGTGGAAAAATTCACCATTTACCTAATATTTTCTGTGTTGGGAATTCTCCAAACACCACCCCCAATTCCAAACTCATCCATATCCACCATGAAAAGAAAACGAAAACAAAAACCCATAAAATTAAATAAAAACAAAAACAAAAGATTCAAAGAGAACAGAGAACTCAATACAAGAAAGATTGAATTTTGAAACACTATTTCTTTCTCAGTAAAACTTGAAACTTAAACTGAAACAAAAGAGAAAAACAAAGAAGAAGAATCCATAGCTTCCTCCACGGTTCCATCAGCAAGCAGCATCAGATTGGGGATGTTACCCCCAAATTTAAATTTTAGGATTCACGAAAATTAGAGATTATTCTCCACTTAGGGTTCATAAAATTGGGTAATTTGAATTGTTTAAAACAAAACTAATCCTAACTTTTATAATTGGGGTTCTATAAATTAAACAGACATGAATCAAATATGGGCAGACTCTATACCAATTGTTGGAAAATTAATAATAATAATAATAATAATAATAATAATAATATTCTTGATTTTGATTCTAACGATCAAACATAAACGTAATCTCATACTCGATAAACATGCTTGTAAATTGAATGCGAAAGCGTACCTGAATTAGCCATAATGATGATGTCTTTGTAGAGCACTATATTGATCTTATGGTCTTCCACTTGAAGATCACCTGTATTTCCCTCTTGATTTTCTCTCTTGATGGGGATAGAAAGAAAGGAACAGGAATGAAACTTACGTTCTGTCTATGTGCTCCCAGAAGGGGACCATGACCCCTTAAATATAACCAGAATTAGGTTAATTACTTAAGTTTTAGTATTTCTAATTTGGCCCCTCATCAAATTAGAAATTGATCTATGGTCTCTACACAATTTTATTTTCATGACATATGCCTTTAGCCAAACTTTTTAATTTAGTTAGATCACTTTATTATTTGACTTAATAAATAATGACCCTAACACATTTAAATTATGTATCATATATATACATGCCCCAAAATTTGCCAACACTAAGTGCAATTCTCCATCTTTTGTGTGTACAAGCATCATCATACACTTTTCGTAACCAACCAAGACTAACATGTCCACCTCGACAATGTCTCGTCTTTGCAAAAGTCATCTCAAAATCAACTCCTAATAGCTCTACGAGCACATAAACTGCTTCATATTCTTCCAAGTGATTATTATCACATAATTGGCAAATAATTGACAGGTGCAATAATGAAAACAAATCTAGTGTGATAGTTATCTCACCTACGACTAGATGGAAGTTACTAGTCTCGCTATGTCATCTCTAAGCAAATGCAAATAATAGCCCCTTATCTACCGTCTTATCAGTAACACCCAAAGGTGCTTCCAACATTGATAGCTAAATAGTAAATGCAATCCGCTGGTGTGGAGGCCCCAACTTAGTCATTTTTCTTCAATGACAAACACATTTTAGCTTCCCACGAACCTACAAAATACACTAACTTATGTTTAAATTTTATAATATTAATCTTTATATACACTAATTTATATGAAAAGCACTTACCACTCTCTCCCATAGATTATGGGCAACATGATTTCATATCTAATTAATAAAGAAGAATCTAAATGCCCTCTTGAAAAATATTGATCATGTGTTGAAGATATCAATATTGTTCATTTATTAGAGAATTAATAACACTTATTCCCCACAAGCCCTACGCCTTACAAAGGCAGTTGGGCGAACACAATATGTGGGTTGAGAATCACCTCCCCTAGTCCTAACTATAATGCAAAATTACACTACATAAAAAAGGAGATCATCCAAATAGTAAGAAGATATTTTTAGAATGTATTTTGGACTGGGCTTTTCAGTAATATATTCCAAAACACTCAATTTGGAATATATTTCCTAAAAGGCCAATCCATAAATGCATTTCAGATTGAGTGTTCCAAAACGTGTTTTTGGAATGAATGTTTTGGAATTTAACCTTATTTTCGCGATACTGTTTCAAATTGAACAATTTTGATTTATTTGTGCAATTTGAGTGTAGGAACATATAACTCATTCATAATATTAATAATTACTTACTTTTAATTGTTAGAAAAAGTCTTTAATGGATGTGATAACATAAAAAAAAATCAAATAATTAAGGAATGGGGGTGCATAAATTATATACAAATAGAAGAAGAAGTTAAGATAAAAAAAAATTATAAAAAAGATATTTTAAATATTTGACTTAGAATATGGTGTTCGAAGAAATTATGAGTTGTAGGAAGCAGAGCTGTTCTGAATTGAAGTTTTACACTTGGTCCACTGGAAACAAACAAAAACATGGATTGAACCTAAATCCGGACCAAAAGCAAAAAGGCCCAGTGCGCTGTACTCATAGAATCATTTGCGCCTAGTTAGATGAACAACTCTTTTCATTCTATTAAAAATAAAAAGTTCATGGAATTTTATTTTCAAATAGTTCCCCATCTTTATTTTATGGTTTAGTAACCCAATCTAACTATACATTAATCTAAAAACATCGAAAATCAATATTTTATTTTTGGCTTAGTTTATTTTTTAAAATTATAAAATTCAATTCAAATTTTAGATTAAAAATTAAGAATTAAACTAAATCATTTATTATATTTAAATATAATATAATATATTTAAAATTAATTATCAATTAATAAACATACATAATTATATTTATTAAAAGTTGTGTTTATAAAATTTACTATAATTTATTTAAAATACAGTTATATTTATTTAAAATATGATATTAACTTTGAATTATAATTTTTAATTATAAAATTATATAATTTATTTATATAAAAGAGAAATTAAAATTATGAACATAATAATATAATTTTTTTATAATGTATATTGATTTTGAAAAAAATTATTTATAAATTTTTAATAATGTTTTAAAAAATATTATACACTTTTTAAAAAATAGATTAACAATTTAATAATAAAAGAATCACGTAATCCAAATTTAATAGTGAATATTAATTTAATTTAGTTCCAATTTATATTAAACTAAAATTAACCTACCATTTTTAGGTTTAAGAGCGATTTTTTATAAAAAAAATTAAACAAAATGGATCTACGAACATTCTTATTAAATATGAAACTGGTTAAAAATTTAATAATTTAAATGTGATGTTGGGTTTGGGTCACGTGATAACTGGGCTTTGTGATAACAGATAACAGAGAGGGGATGAATTTCATGTATCCGCGTAGGAACATAACGGCGGGAAAATAAGAGTAAAGAGCGGGAATATATATAATTTAGTTTAACTTGAATAGCAAGCTTTGATAACCCGCCAAAGGAGTAATGGAATAACCACTTTGTTTCTGCATAACCATAATGGCGCAGAAGAAGAAAGCTAGGGTTTCTGACGACGAGGAAATGGAACTGCAGCATGAAGAAATCAGCCTCTACCAGGTACCCTAAATTTACGCTTCTGTTTGACAATCGAACATTTCACCCTTCGAATTGAGCTCGTCTATTGTTACTGTGAATGATCTTTGACTTTGTTAATATTTGATTTGAGTAATTGGTTGCAGGTTCTTGGTGTGGAGAGAACGGCGTCGCAGCAGGAAATAAAAAAGGCTTACTACAAGTTGGCGTTGAGGCTTCATCCTGATAAGAACCCTGGTGATGAGGTCATTCTTTAAACCCAATATTACAATTGTCAGTTTTATTTTGCACCAGATTAGTTTTTAGATGCTGACACTTGTAATTTCTTGTGATGTTGTTGCAGGGAGCTAAAGAGAAATTCCAGCAACTGCAAAAGGTGATATCGATTCTTGGGGATGAAGAGAAGCGGGCCCTCTATGATCAGACTGGATGTGTTGACGATGATGTGAGTTAGGCTCTGATTTTGTTTAAGCCCAACTTTTTTTGTGTTCTGTTGCTGATGAAATAGGCTCTGATTGGATAAATTTCTTAGTTAATATTTTTTGCTAAAGAAAAAAACAAGTCAAAGTAAATTGAATTATTTCCATAACTTTAACTTAACTCGTACACTTGAGCATTTGGAAAAGCTAGATGAAAGAGCTTCTATGAAAATTAAGGGTATATGTTGGTTTTAACTTCCAGGAGAAGCTGAATTTATTTTACCTTATTATTTTTCTTCTCTTGTGTTTATAGAATAGTTCGCCTAATAGGATCTTACTGTTCAGGATACTTTGGCCACTTGTCCTTGACTACAACTCATTTACTTTTTATTTTTATTTTTTTTTTAAATCAGGACCTGGCTGGAGATGTTGTTCAGAATCTTCAAGCATTCTTCAGAACAATGTACAAGAAGGTATTTGTTTTATTACATGATATTCTGTTTATTGTGGTGTATTTGGTTTCATTTATGTGGTAATTAAAATGTGCTATAGGTCACAGAAGCTGATATTGAGGAGTTTGAAGTGAACTATAGGGGATCTGTTTCTGAGAAAAATGATTTGATTGATTTGTACAAGAAGTGCAAGGGTAACATGAATAGGTAAGAAATCATTGCGAATTTGGGATGCACGAGAGCCATATTTGAAAAGGTTGAGTTTGATATCAGGAGTTGTCTCCCTTTGCAGGCTTTTTTGTTCAATGCTCTGTTCAGATCCTAAACTTGATTCACACCGATTCCAGGATATTCTCGATGAGGGTATAGCTGCTGGTAAGTATATTTACTACATACAATTTGTTGACTAAGGTATTAACCAGACATTTGCTCTAGAATTTAAGTTTCTTTGCTGGAAACAAGTTGTATTTTGATTGTTAGATTTTGAATGCAAACTAATAAGAAAATAGGAGATCATGAACGAACTTTACTTTTAACTTTTAAGCATTAGCATTGTGAATCAGCATACTAAGATATGCAGTCATGGAAGAGTCCATTAATTCTCTGGTCGTATAATTTTCTCCTTGATGATTATCTATTCTCTTCTCCATATTCTGCAGGAGAACTAAAGGCAACAAAAGCCTACCAGAAATGGGCCAAGGAAGTATCTGAAACCAAACCGCCCACAAATCCTTTGAGGAGGGAGAAGTAAGTTGATCAAGCAGGTTTTTGCATTGCTAATGCCATTTATGCTATAGTTTAAGAATGATCCATTTTTTCTACAGGTCTAATAAGCAGTCAGAAGCAGATCTTTATACAATGATAGCACAACGCCGAAATGAGAGGAAAGGCCAGTTTGATTCAATGTTCTCATCTCTAGTTTCAAAATATGGTGGAGGTGATATGCCCGAACCCTCTGAAGAGGAGTTTGAAGCTACGCGGAGAAAGCTGGAGACTGGTAGATCCTCTAAAAAATCAAAACAATCCAAGCGGAAGTAAAATTCATATATATAAGTATATACTGTATAGTAATTTTGTTTATGACATGACGTTTGCTCCTGCGTTTTAGTTATCAAATGTCGGTGTATTTAGCAGAACTACTGGAGTGTTTTCAATTTGTAAGTTTATGTGATTGGTTGTTTTCAAAAACTGAGATGGAACCATTTTATTTCTTTGCTATGACGGCAAGTGATGGTATCCTTCTACCAATTCTTCATATGGATGTTTGTTGTTTATTCAGTTCCAAAGTTTATATGCTTACAATTGAGTTGCCCCTGTTTATAAATTTTAGGACAAATGATTTTTATAAATTAATTGTAAATCTTTGTATGTGATTATAATTAATTTCAATCACAAATTTTACATTGAAACGTGTCATGGTGTGTAATATTGACAATGGGAGCAAACCAAACGGGCTGATTCAACTGCGTGTTGTGACATTTTCCAAGTCTTTCAGCGCGCCCAACAGTTTTCACCTTGAAAATAAGTGCTGGCAACTGGTTTATGGCATTAACAAATTTTATTGAAGGTGCAAATGGCTGCATTATGTTGGCCTAAAATGGAATGGTCATTCTGAAATCTGGATGGTCCCATATTTTGCTATAGAATTTTGTGTATGCCCACACGTTTTTTCGGTAGTGAATGTTTTCAAGTGTAACAACAGTATGCAGTTTCGAGCTTCACTTGGTTAAGATTCAACACAGCATTTCAAATTAACTTAAAGGATGGATACAGCTTTATTTTAGAGAACACTTTAGAATAGCCTTCTATACATTCATTAATGATAATATAATTTACACAGTATACAAACCTTTCGAACAATTTGTCACATCCTTGAACCATTTACTTCTTTCTTACATCAATAGCCCATATTTTATTAGTGAAGATATGCAAGAGTGATCCTTTAGCTATTTCAAAGTGGTTACTAATCACAACTTACCTATGAGATGTAAAAGTTCAACTACATGGATTTTTTGTTGCACTATAATTTGTGTAAAATGTTTCATTTTGAGAAATCCATTATCTGACAGTTTTACGAATTTTTTAGATACGGTTTAAAACTCTATGATGACCAGTGTCTATAAATATCGCATATGCTATGTGTTTCAAGGTCACCAAATCTGCTCTCTTTTTCAATACACTATACCATCAGTGTTAAGGAGTTAAAGTTTCGAAACTAAAAAGTGTTTTAGAGAAACTTTGTTCCAGAATAATGACTAGAGGTTAGTAATAATGATTGAATCATTGTCCAATACACTATGTCTGGTTCTCTGGATCAGAATAGTGTGGCAGAAAGAAGAAATCGAATTTTAATGGATATGGTAAGATGTATGAGGAGTAATAAAAAACTTCCTCAATTCTTGTGGACGGTAGCACTTAAGACAACTGTGTATATAATAAATTGAGTTCCAATTAAGGTTGTCTTAAAGACATCTTTTGAGTTCTTCAAAAGTTGAAAACCTAGTTTACAACATATATGCCTTTGGGGATGTTCGTTTAAAGTAAGGATTTATAACCCACAAGAGAAGAAACTAGATGTTAAGACTATTAGTGAGTATTTAATTGGATATGCTGAAAAGTCCAAAGGGTATAAATTTTATTCTCTATCTCATAGCATTAGATTTGTGGAAGCAAGAAATGTAATTTTTTTTTGAAAATGACTTGATTAATGGAATGATTCAATTTCAGATATTGATTTTGAAAATGATCATTATAAAGTTCAACCCTCTCAATCAAATGATAAACTATTAGTCATTCACGCTCATCCAGTTCAAGAACATGTTAGACAACCAATTACTCAAGTTCCACAAATAATTGAAGATGATAATGTAGATTTAGTTGTTGAAGAAGAACAACAAGTAGATGTTAAACAACGTATTGAGCAATCAATTGAACAATAAGTTTCTCATCAAGGTAGTGAGACAACATTAAAAAGATCTACAAGAATCAAAAGTCAACTATTTTTAGTGATTATGAAGAGTATTTACAAGAATCAAATTATAACATTGGAATCGAAAATGATGCTGAAACGTTTTCACAAGCCATGAATTATAAGGAATCGAATTTGTCGTATAATGCAATGAAAGATGAGATAATTTTATGACATCTAATCAAGTTTGGGATCTTGTTAAGTTACCTAATGGTGTAAAATCCATTAGATGTAAATGAGTCTTTAAAACTAAGAAAGACTCAAAAGGTAACATTGAGAGACATAAAACAAGAGTTGTTGTCAAAGAGCCAACTTAAAGAGAAAGAATAGATTAAAATGAGACATTTTTTTTGTATCTAAGAATGATTCGTTAAGGGTAATCATGATATTAGTAGCTCATTTTGATTTTGAGTTACATCAAATGGATGTAAGCGTAATAAATTCATCTATGGATTAAAACAATCACGTCAATGATATTTAAAATTTCATGAAGTTATTTCTTCATTTGGTTTTGAGGAAAATATTATGCATTAATGTATATACCAAAAGATTAGTGAGAGTAAATTTTACTTTCTTGTTTTATATATGGATAACATTTTGCTTGCAACTAATGACAGGGAAATGTTATATGAGGTGAAACAGTTTCTCTCAAAGAACTTTGATATAAAAGATATGGGAGATGCATCTTATGTCATAGGCATTAAGATCCATAGTGAAAGATCTTGAGGTGTTTTGAGTTTATCTCAGGAGGCTTATATCAACAAGGTTCTTAAGAGGTTTAACATGAAAGGTTGTTCACCGAGTGTGACTCTCATTATGAAGGGTAATAAGCTTGAATTGGGTCAGTATTTGAAAAATGATTTTGAGTTTTGAAAGTCTTATGTATGCTCAGGTCTGCACCAGACCAAACATTATATATGCAGTTGGAGTTTTGGGAAGATATAAGAGTAATCCATGTATTGACCACTAGAAAATTGCAAAGAAAATAATGAGATACTTTCAAGGAACAAAAGATTTCATGCTCATATACACACAAACTGATAGTTTAGAGGTGATAAACTACTTTGATTCAGACTTAGTTGGCTACACTGATACCAGAAAATCCACATTTAGTTACATTTTTATGCTAGCTTGTGGAGTTGTATCTTGGAGCAGCAAAAACAGACCTTGATTGTTACATCCACTATGGAAATTCAGTTTGTTTCTTGTTTTAAGGCTACTACACATGGTGTATGGTTGAAGAATTTTATATCTAGGTTTAGAGTTGTGGACTAAATTATTAGGCCATTGAAGTTATATCGTGACAACTCTGTTGTTGTATTTTTGGCTAAGAATAATAAGAGTGAAAGTCGAAATAAACACATAAATATCAAATATCTAGCTATAAGAGAACATGTTAAAGAAAAGAAAGTGGTCATTGAACATGTTAACACTGAGTTGATGATTGTTGATCCTTTAACTAAAGACATACCATTAACGAATTTCAAGGATCATGTAACAAAAATGGGACTTAGTTCCATATTGTGACAATTTATAATTTTATAAAACTCTTATTCAGTTTGATAATTTCTCATTTATTTGTGCACATATTTGTTTATTTTTGAGAAATATCATTAGTTTCACCTAAAATAAACACAAGGTTTATTAATTAATGTTAAAGAATATTTGATGAGATTCTTAATATAGTGTGATAGATGAGAGATAATACTTATTATTAGAAGACCTATCTATCACGCTATATTAAGAATCTTGAGATTGATAATGTAATAAATGGTTAAGTGAAAGAATGTTCTACACTCTATCACACCATCTCATGATCTAGTAATTATCCTTGATCTAATTATTATTTTATAATTTATACAAAGTGTTTTATTTTCAAAAATTCATTATGTGACAATTTTACATATCTTTTAATTACAGTTTAGAACTTTAGGATGATCAATGTTTTATAAATACCTCATATTCTCTATATTTTAAGATCTCCTAATATATTTTCTTATTTGATAATACCGTATAGTGTTAGAAAATGAAGATTTGAAAATGAAGAAGTGTTTTAGAAAAATTTATTCAAAAACAATGTCTAGAAAATATTTTTATATTTTCGCTTTATAAGTTGGTAAATATTTTTATGTTTTCGTTTTATTATATTTTACGTTTTTAAGTTTTTACATACTTCTACAAACTCTTGTAAAGTCTGGGTTTGAGATTAAACCCATACAGGCCTTTGCTTTGTATTATATTATATATATATATATATATATATATATATATATATATATATATATATATATATATATATATATATATATATATCTTCAAATTTATCTAGCAAAATAACTGCACAAACTTCAATTGTGAAGCACAAACTGTTTAAAAATTTGGAATCGTCAAACATACGTCGCAGTTGTCATGGCTTTGTCATTTTGTCTGCACCTACTTCATAGCACACTGTTGTCATATTATCTTTCTCACCATGCCATAAGTATGTTGACGATCAAATCAAAAGTTTATATTTTGGATGAAATTTTGGATTGGCTGGTCAGTTATAAAAAAAAAGACAATGGAATGATTACTGCCGACAACGCATAGATGCTTTTGCGGGAACAACGGTAATTGTAACATTCGGAGCAGCACGTGAGAAAACAACGGTCGGTGTCCAGATAAATACTTCACAAGTAAATGGTCTCATGAGTAACTGCCGTCTTAGCAAAATGAAAATAACTAAAAAAAATATTCATCGGAGTGAAAGTTTTTAGCTTGGAAAGGAAAAAGGTTATAATTGGAATCAGGAGGATGACCCCTTTAATTTCTTCTCTTTAATTGGAATCAGGGAAAAGCTAAAACCTAAATGTATTTTCCAAAATATTTTTTATGTTATTCTTTAATCAGAATATGTTACAGTTTCCCAAAAAACATTAAACGTTCCAGTTAATAGGCAATTAATACAAACGTGTACTGTGTAACTGTAAAGCAAACTTTTATTTTTATCAAGAACAACATAAAAACTTGTGCACGCTTTAGAAATTCGAAAAAAAAAAACTCACAAAGAAAACCATTTTGGTAACTTTTATATAACGTGATAAAGAATATAAAATATTTTTTATTCAATATATTTAATAATTTATAATAAAATTTTAAACAAAAACAAAAACAAAAACAAAAATCATAAATACAAATATAATTATATTTAATTATTTGAGAATCAAAATTATAAATATATATATAACTAGATTAGAAAATTTGGGGCGGTGGCCCCTTCCACCCGAAGCTCCGTGACCGGGAAATGTATTACCAAAGATGCACTTTAGAAGTTGTAGAGTGTCAACGGGATTACATATCCTTGCGTCATCTTCGTTTAGGTACCAAAAACGTTAATTCTATAGTAATTATTATCATTGACTTTCCTGTGATAATAAGCTGTCGTAAAACCTATACCGTGTGGCAGACCCTCTACGGTCTACTTAATAATGACATTGCAGATCGATCTTTAGGCTTTATTTGGATGAAGTGATTTGAGAGAGTGGAAATGAGAGAATGGAAAAGGAGGGATTTGAAGAGAAATGGAGATGATTGAAAAGTGAAAGGAAAGTTTATGGAAAATTGTGAATGATTTGATTGATATGAGATATAAAAATTATAATTTTATGTTTATTATTTAAGAAAATTACTATTTTACCCTTTGTATCAAATAAGGTTCAAATGATTATAAATATAATTTTTTAATTAATTATCCATATTTTAACATTGATTATATATTTAAAAGAAAAAACAAATTTAAAAGTGTTTGTAATTGGAAACAAATTTAAAAAATTAACTTTTTTTAGATAGTTATTAAAAATTATATAAATAAACAATTACAAAATTATGTACATTGCATATCCATATTCAAATAATGTTGACATATTAAATAAATTATTTGACTAATAATTAAATAATTATAAAATATAAAATAATAATTAATATTGATCGATAATAACAAATAATTATGAAAATTAATAATATAATTGTACATTATTATTTAAAACAAATATAAAATACAATTGAAAATAGAATAATAATTAAAGGAAAGATTACTAAAATTATAAATCTATGCACACTAATGTTCTTCAAACAAATAATTATAATGTTATCCATCTTTTGTAGTGAAGTCCTCCAGGTTCAGATCATTCAATCACCTCCATTCAAGAACATGAACAATCGGGAGAGACGAAGATGTGAGGCAAGCCAAAAGTCGTCTAACATGTGATGGGTGAGTACACAAATGATTATAACATCTGAAGCATAAGTTGCTCGTCATTTAGGTTCATGCCGACTAACATGTCCCATATATCTGACTCCGAATGTTGAAATGTTGATGATCGTCTCATCACATTAACTTGCTCATTAATTAATTCATTTACTGCGTTCAATGGCGACCACCTGTCTTTCAAGCTATGTCGGATAATCGTTGGGTGATTGTATTACCTTGCCCGAGGTAATCTGTAAATGTGTCTAGCCTCGATGTTAGTTTTTCAAATTGACCTTCCATCACATCAACCATAGGCGCTTTTCTTTTTGTGCCCGAGATGAAGAGGTTCCACCGAACCAGTAGACGCAGCGAGATGGAATTGAGTGAGCACCCTCAGCAGGACCGTCGGAACCCATGCGTGGAGGTGATCGATAAGTCGTATCAAATCCCGCATCAAAGCCAAAGTGAAATGGTCTGCTCCTCCGGTGTGGGGTCCACATCAACGTTCAAGTCGATCGTTGCCCTTCGAGAACTCGATATTCATTCGGCCCGACGCGAAGTTCTTGCCATATGTCCACTGGCTCGATCAGCACCCCACAATTCTTCCATCAAATCATAATGTCTTATAGTTGCCAGCTTCCATTTAGTCGCAGAAGGCTTCGCTACAAAATAATGAGAATGGTTAACACTCGTAATTGTTATGTTTTGCTATATCAACAAATGATAATTCATATAATAGTACCTCAATTAGGTCATCCCATACTTCTTGCTCAGCCACAAACCGTTTTGTCATATCATCCCAAGCGAATCCACTAAGTCCATGAAACAAATCGTGGACCTCCCGCCATCTATCCTTAAGACTTTTTTGTCGATTTTTAACATTATTTTTAGTTATACCAATTAATCCAGACTGTCTTAGGGATTCAACTATATTCTTATATGCTTGGGTTGTCCAACTACCATCAACCCGATTACCCAACCTTGCCTCATCAAGCATAGCAACCAACAACCGAAAGTCCATGTCATCGATCCATTTTGTAAACTCGCGTACTACAGTGTGACGAATCCGTGCAATATCCTTTCCTCTGTTCATTTTAAACCTATTGGAAAGATAATATATGTAATTACGATACCAACATATAATTATTATAAATAGATAATCGTAATGTAATCGTATTTCAATAATAACAATAGTACATCTTATTAAATATATTATTATATACAAAATCTAATGACTTTGATAATCTATCCACATTTGATTTGCTATAAGTATCTCTTAAGTTTGACCCTTCCCTATAATCCTCTTCCCGAACTTGAGTCGACATATTATCCACATCTTGTTCCATCAACTCTCGATCCACTTCAACTAATGATGATTCATCGTTGTCTATCCCTCGAAGAAAATTGTGTAGAATGCAACATGCTAGGACTATATTCGTCATTGTATCAAATGAATAATGAGGCTCTGTTCCACTAGCTATTATAGGAAATCTTTTCTTCAAAACTCCAAATGTTCTTTCAATGACATTTCTAAGAGACGAATGTCGATGGTTAAACAATTCTCGGGGTTTTGTGGAGCTCGTCGAGAATACTCTTTAAGGTGGTATCTAACGCCTCGATAAGGGGTCATTATGTTTACTTTTAACATAAATCCAAGCATCCCCCAAGTAGTATTTACCTATTTAAAATCATTGAAGTTATACTAATTAGAATATTTAAACTAGTTGACTATACACAAAATCCGCATGTTATAAATAATAAACATTGTGGTATGATAAGGCGATCCTCTCTCGTAAGAACATCCTTTAATATTCTTGAATCGAGATGCTCGTTCCTTCCCACCCTGCTAGAACATATGTGAATTTCATGTCGAAATCACAAGCCGCAAATACGTTTTGTGTTGGCCAATCTTTTCTTCCACGAAAACGAGGGGCATCTGATCTTGCGACTTTAACTCGAACATGAGTTCCATCTATTGCCCCTAAACAATCCTAATGGGTAAAAAATTTATTGTCATTAAAGTTTAGACAATCTATGTGTATGTTATATAGACACAAAGTTGGTAAGTACATTACCTTAAAGTATGGGTAAAATCGGTTGTTGCTTAATATATACGGACACACATCCCTTCCTCGATGGTTGAACAATTAATTGTTCGTCCAACATTATTATCGCATTCAACACGTTATGAAAGTGTCGACTAACGGTTTCACCCGATCGATGGAAAAAAATGAAACAGCTTCGATTTTTAACGTTATGTCCGATAATATGGAGAAATTTAGCCACTTGTTCTTCCACTCGTTGATTGTAACCCATCGTTTACTAATCCAGCTTGTCCTTACTCGTTGACACAAGTTAATGAACGCCTCCGGTCCCATGCGAATAATGTGACGAGATTGTTCAAGTATGAATAAGGTATGACATCAACTCGTGCCGACGACGTTCTTTTTCGTAAATAAAGTCTCTAATGTTACCGCTACTACAAGTTACCATAGACAACATATTTAATCCATAAGCTATCAAACAAAGAATTGTCATCGCTCCTATTTCGCTCGCTTTTTTATCTCACTTTGTATATGTGAAATCATGTTTATATCCGCACCAAGTATCTATATCGTCATTGTCTAAACCAATGACCTCGATGTTTTTGTCTCCGCCATCTCATAATATATATATATATATATATATATATATATATAATTAATTAATTAATTAATGTTTAATGGAAGTAATTCAAAATTGCCATCTCGCAAACCAAGATCACAAAACCAAAAATTATTTACAAAACTACTAATAATTTTTTTCCTCTAAATTTATCATATGTAAGTATTGTCATAATACTTATACCTAAAAATGCTTAGATTTCAGAATTTTGCATTATCCAGATGAAAAGTACTGCAATATTCTTAAGCGAGTTATACATGTCAATACAGATCTTACATATAGAATGGGACAACAAGCTTGGTACCTTGTCTTCAATCCCGCGACTCGATTCCTTGGCAAAACTTTCAGTCCAACAACGAGCAAGTGTTAACAAATGTCCGATAGTCTTTCGGATACTCGCAAAAATAATCTCATTTTTTGTAAGTAAAAATAATGTAATTTTTTCCTCTAAGATACGACTACGCAACAACAACATAACCAATGCACAGTGTCGAAACCATGGTCGTATGGTGCACATTTTTTGTTCGAGTGGAGGAGGTTTGGCCATGTTTTATACCTCAAATCCGAATGCTCACACGGACTCTTATGCATGCACACGGACTCCAAAAACAAACGTACTCAACCAAGTTTTATGTTCCAACCATGACGAGAAGACACGTAACCATACCCGGGGTGTTCCTCCGACAATATACCAAAAACAAACGTACCAACCAAGGTCACACCAAAGTTAATGGCCGCGGCGAAGATCCAACCTACAACAGAGTAGCTTTGCTTTGCTTTGCTAGAGTCTTTTAGCTAGTCTTATGAGACTAGCTTTGCTTTATATAATACAATAACTTTCCCTATCGAGCTGTAATCTACGAAGAAAGAATAAGTCCCGTAACTTCTATCACCTGTGAACACGTGAAGTTGGTTGTACAGCCTCGTGACCACTCGCATGTACAGCCCGTGACCATCGCCTGTACAGCCGTGACCATCGCTCGTACAGCCGTGACCACTGCATGTACGACCCTGACTTCGCTCATGACTTACCTCCTTCCGTCGTCTTTAGAATATATAATTTGTCAAATGATCAAGATTTTAGATAACGGTTCCAAGTAATAACCGCTAATACAAATATATATAAGATAGCGGTTAAATTGGACCGCTATTATATATACACTTTTAAGAGCGGTTACAAAGACAACCGCTCTTAAAAGTAACTCGTGATAGCGGTTATATGTTAACCGCTACCTAAAGTTTTCAAATGATCGATTATTTTGCCAAAATGATCGATCACAGCTCCAAAACCTCGACACTTTAGATAGCGGTTCACCTAAAACCGCTATTACAAGTTATATTTCGCTAAACTATCGCTCGAGCGAAGACACCTGCACATAATTTTCATCCTCGAGTTGTTTTTCGCTTGAGCTAAACTGATCTCGCTCGAGCGACTAGCAAAGATCTCAGTGATTTGATGAAGTCAAAGATAAAGTCAAAACGCATTTCAATCGATTAAAACGCATTTCAATCGATTAAAATGACTTAGAAAAATTTCGTGCAGGGTTTTAATCGATTAAAACTTCTTTGTATCGCTTAAAATAACTTGAAAAGTGTTATAAGAAAGTTTTAAATCGAATCAATCGATTAAACCGCGAATCAATCGATTAAATCACTCTTAGAAAATATTTGTAAAAAGTTTTAACTGATAAAAACTTGGTCGTATCGGCTAAAACAATTATGTTAAAGAACAAGAACGCATTAATGGGTTGAAAGGACTTTTAACAGATTATAACGGCTATTTCAACAGATTAAAACAAACTTTGAACAGACTTGCTCTCTAATCCCATCGCTGATTGGATTGAACTGAAAAAGCGGAGCTTAGGTAGGCTACAACAACTCTCAAAGCGTGAGCTCATAAGCCGTATTTCGCTCGAGCGACTATATCTCGCTCGAGCGAAATATGATCCTGATCGATCATAAGTTGAAATGATCGATCATAATTGGAGGATATAATAGCGGTTCCTCTCAGAATCGCTTATCTAAAGTGTATATTAGATAGCGGTTCCAGTGGAACCGCTTATCATATACAACCATATTTTAATTTCTTGAGTCTCGGGTTGTGTTTCGCTTGAGCGACTATATCTCGCCGAAATGAAATATGATTCTGATCGATTAGATTTTTGAAATGATCGATCATATTTCATAATTTTTTCAAATAATTAATTCTAATCGATTATTTTTCTAAATTATTGATTAGAATTGATTAGTTTTTCAAATAATAGCTTAGAATTGATTAATTTCTAAAATATATATTAAAAAATTATAATTAAAAATATAGATTATTTAAGAATATTAACTATTGTAAAGATAAAGTAGAACATGGGAGGAGATGAGGATGATAATATAATGATAGAAGTTACAAAAATGTAGCATTGAGAAGTTTGAAACAAAAAAAAATTAAGAAAATAGAGATTTAATTACACTTTTAATAAATTGAAGATAATTACAATATAATTTTCTAATTTGAGAATGAACAATATAATTAAGAAGATCAAGTGTAATGTTATTGATGCTAATTTTAACAATAATACAATAATATTATTTTGGAAAATGCCCATATTCATGTGAATATTTTGATTATTGTTATATAAAATAATTAAAAGAATAAGGTAAATAGAAAAGTAAAATGCATGGTTATACCACTTTCCTTTTAATCTATAATTAGTTAGGTATGAATCAAATGTAAAGTCTAATGTTATTGATGCTAATTTTAAGAAGATCATAAAATGTAAATTAAATAACTACAATATAAATTTCTACTTTGAGAATGAACAATATAATTAAACTCAAAATTGAGAATACTCTTATACATTTTTGAACTCTTTTGGATAAATTTTGTTTTCCTAATTTTTGATAAAGTTAATTTTAATATTTAAAAGTATTTAACATTTTGAATTCTGAAAGGTTTTCTCTAATAGCAAATTTAAAAACATAATATTCAAAAAAATATTTTAAGATTCAGTCTCGGGTTGCATTTCGCTCGAGCGACTATATCTCGCTCGAGCGAAAACGATACTGATCGATCATAATTTGAAATGATCGATCATAAGCTGGAGGATATAATAGCGGTTCCTCAGTAATCGCTATCTAAAGTGTATATTAGATAGCGGTTCCAGTGGAACCGCTATCATATACAACCAAATTTTTAATTTCTTCGGTCTCGGGTTGTGTTTCGCTTGAGCGACTATATCTCGCTCGAGCGAAATATGATTCTGATCGATTAGATTTAGGTAATGATCGATCATAATTGGAGGATATAATAGCGGTTCCTCATGTAACCGCTATCTAAAGTGTATATTAGATAGCGGTTCCAGTGGAATCGCTATCATATACAACCATATTTTAATTTCTTCAGTCTCGGGTTGTGTTTCGCTTGAGCGACTATGTCTCGCTCGAGCGATATATTGGAGGATATAATAGCGGTTCCTCTGTAAGCGCTATCTTAAGTGATATATAATAGCGTTTAAGATTTAACCGCTATTAGAAGTGATATATAATAGCGGTTATGTTTTAACCGCTATTAGAAGTGATATATAATAGCGGTTAAGTTTTAACCGCTATTACAAGTGCTGTTATAATAGCGGTTAAGATTTAACCGCTATCATATATTGCAGGGTAACAGCGACTTTTCATTACTTTCATCTCTTTTCTTCGCACCTCAGCGAAGAAACTCTCTCTCTCATCTCCCCCTTTTCCTCGCCTGCATTTCGTCGCAAATCAGTTCAACCAAACGTGGGTGAATCTCGTGTTTCTGTCTTCGTGAACAGTATTTCGTCGCAAATCAGTTCAAACAAACAGGGGCTTAGAGCTTGGTAAACAAACTAATTAGGTTTTGATTTGACACCATCATCACCAAATTAACCCTTGAAACTTTCATTTAGCTGTTAAGTACATGCTTACTAATTATCATTGCATTTCTTAGAGTTAAATAAACCGGTTTACCACCTAAATATGCAACATTACTGCAACAAATTGTTGTTGATCTATCACATTACCATAGATTAACATGTTTATCACTCACCTTTAACACTTAATTTAAAACTGATCATATCATTATATCATGCATTAAACAACACAAAAAAACCTTGGCCTCTAAGAATGGTGAAGGTGTTAAATTAAACCACAATTATGTCTCTGGACCAGCCGCGGTGGTTGGCCAGCGCACTATACTAGCACAAACCCACGCAACTTTTATTAATTTATTTACTTTCTGTAGAGTGTATATACCCATTGGCTCAATTCTATAAATTTCGATGCTTTTGTTTATTAAGGTACACGGAGTGTGACATCACAACTGCGAGCTACGAACATTCCTTGTTTTGAATGATCTCCTATGAGTCTGTAAACGCAAGCAAGACTTTTCCTTTTTCTTTAGTTTTCCACACCACACCTGCCACCTTTACGTTCTGTCCTCCATGCCCTTTACCCCAACCCATTTTCTTTTGAGTCATTGGGTGGGGTTGAAGCCATGATACACTCACCACCACAACTCTCGTGTCAACATTAAAAAACATTCAACAAAGGTTAGTACAATTAGTATATACAAGACTCATCTCTTGTAGATGTTCAAGTTCTTATTTTGTTCTTTACGTATATGGTCTTTATGGATGAACAATTTATAAACATATTTTAGTGGTAAAATCTGTTTTGACTCTGGTAAGTTTCTTAAACCAAATGTGGACTTTGACTAAAAAATGAAATAAAAGAAGTATTTATAAATGTGAGCCATGTCATTGGTATATACTATATATATTGTCTTTAATTGGCCTTGTTGCCTGCCCCCATTCTCTCACTACATTTTCTTTTGGGTAAGTAAGTCATCAATCTTCAATTTTCCTGGTGGTGATATATTCTAATTTTCCTGAGTCTACACTCTGTTCTCTCTCTCTCTCTCTCATTCAGTCGTCTAAGGAGGTAGTTTATTGTCATAATTGTGGAATGTAGCTTTACTCATGTTTCATGTGAAGCCCCCTTCATATGGTTGCTACAGCCCACTGAGTAGTCCCCAAAATTCATTCTCTAAGGGTACATTTACTTTACCCAATTAATGCCCTTCAGCCTATTGGGTGTCTTCAATTACAGCAATTGGATGAAAAAAAGGGTAGAAAGAGTTGGTATTAGAATTCACACTCACGCACACTCTGCCATAAAGAATCTTTTCTTTCCTAAGTTCGTAATAGCAAATCAGGATCTGCTGCTTCACTGCGTCTTCACTCTTTGTCATATACCTTCTGGAATTTTCAATGGAGACAGAGAACGGTGACACCAAGTCCAAAAAAATGGAAGACTATGAAGTGATAGAGCAAATTGGAAGAGGGGCTTTTGGCTCTGCCTTCCTCGTCCTTCACAAGTCCGAGAAAAAGAGGTAAGTCAATTACACCTTTAACTGCTTCAACTATGCTTACACAAACAGATTGAAGATCCGTTTATTTTTCCAGTTCGAAAATGGACAACCCCATGAGGAAAAAAATCATCTTTTTAGTATGTCTGTGTTTAATTGTTGAATTGAGGCCTGAAAAGTTTGATGGCAGTCAACTTTTGGGCTTCAATATTTTTCCTACTAAACCGTGGAACAAGGACGGGTGGAACTTGGATGTTGATTTTTTCAGTTAAATGATGGACAACCCGAGCAAGAAAGTTTGGAAAGTTTTTGGTTTTTCCTATTTTTGATGTTGGTGTTTAATTGTTGGAAATTAAAATCCAGCATTTTTATTCAGCACAGTTAGCTTGTCAACTTCAATTGTTACTTATTCTCATAATTTCATATCCTCGGTAGGTATGTGCTGAAAAAGATTCGGTTGGCCAAACAGACAGAGAAGTTCAAACGTACTGCACACCAAGAGGTTGGTGTAACAAATCCTTCCACCTGAGGAATCCTATGTGTCCATCATGCAATTGTTTATTTATTTTATGTTTAAATATATTTTATTTTCTCTGCATGAATCAACGCAACTTAATATTTGTTTGTGCTTTTCAATAATTTATGTTTATCTTCCATGATGATTTAGGAATGTGCCATGCTGGCTATGCTTCTTTCACACCGCAAATAAACCTGTCATCTGGATATTTAGTTAAATCATGAAATTGAATCTCCACTGCAAAAACAAAGACAAATGACTTTAGTAACTCAAATTGAATTAAATTGATTGTCGAAATCTGGTAGGCGATATGCTACTCATTACTGTTGTCTAAAGTGTTGATCAAACTTTTAGATAAAAATGATATATGTTTTGTGAATGCTCACCAAATCCTGTGTGCACCATATGCCATGTCATTTTCATTTTTTAGCCAAATGCCTTTGTAATATTGGTTTTACGTAGATATAAGTCAGTATTTTTAATAATGATCTCATGCATTTCAGTCCTAAGAAGTTGTGTGAAGCTGATTTCAAATGATTGTTTTCTTTCTACCAACATAAAAGTGACTCGGTTCCTCTTTCTCTCATAGATGAACCTGATTGCAAAACTAAATAACCCATACATTGTGGAGTATAAAGATGCTTGGGTGGAGAAGGTAGGGACTTTTTTTTCCTCCTAATTTTAATTTTCGGTAATACATTTATTAGAGATGAAAAACTAAGTTTAAATATTTACACATATATCAGTTCATTCTGATGTTTACCAAACTTCATAGGCTTGTTTGTGATATTTTATATTTTGTAGGAGGACCACGTATGCATTATAACTGGCTATTGTGAAGGAGGTGACATGTAAGTAAAGCAATATCTCTTAGTAATTCTTGTTCTTTCTTGCATAAATTAAGGATCTGAGCTTATTATTTTTCAAATAATCTCAGGAGGAAAGAAAATATTTGTCAGGTATATACTTTCTAATTGTTAAACCAAAAGTATAATATATTAAACAAGGATAAAAGAATGGTTCTCAGAACTCCTAGCACATTATTTTAGGTGAAGACCTACTGGATGTAATGTGGACATTATAAAAATTATTGCTATCTTGGACTGAAACGGAACTACACAGAACTTTATGCTGAATTTATTCTAAGGAATACTCAAACTGTTATAATGATTTTTAATTATAAGATGGGAATACAAGTATTGAATTTTAAAACTGATCCTTGGTCTAAACGGTTAAGGTGTTAGAGAAGGCCCAGAAACCTCTTTTTGAAACCCAGGCGTAAACATGCTTTGTAATTAATACATATCATGGAGATCTGGAACGAGTCTTTGTTTATTGATGTTGAATTTTTGCAGTATCCGTAGCATCCCTTCCATGTAGAAGTTTGATAGACATATATATTGTCTGTTTGTTCATTGCATGACATCAGTATTCTTAATTGCATTCTAATTTTTGAGATGAAATACACTACAGTAATTGGGATTCTGTGGGTCTTGTATTTCATACAACATAGTCTACATGCATGCATTTATATGCTACAATGGAGAAATACGAACAGTGACATAAAGTCCTAATCATGGAATCCTGCATTCTTTGTGGAGCAGGGCAGAAAACATAAAGAAAGCTCGAGGGTCATTTTTTCCTGAGGAGGTAATAAATACGGTTAATCTGCTCATCCTTGATAAATCCTCATATGACTATTCCTTACCCTACTCTGAATTGTCAATTCATCCCGCAGAAAGTCTGCAAATGGCTGACTCAGTTGTTGATAGCTGTGGACTACTTGCATTCTAATCGTGTAATCCATAGAGATCTTAAGGTATTGCATATTCGCTTATATTGATCAAGAAATCTGTTGTCATGTTTACATATATGCTACTTCATGTAATTTCAGTGTTCCAACATATTTCTCACCAAAGACAACAACATTCGGCTTGGTATGTAGTGTTTTTCCTTGAAAACTCAACTTTTGGCTTCTATAAACTATGTTATCTGAAGAAATATGTTTATTGCATGCCATACAGGTGACTTTGGCCTTGCAAAGCGACTTAATGCGGAAGACCTTACTTCCTCGGTATGTGTACATGTGTGCTATGTTAGCTTTTTTTATCTAATGCCTCCTTCTAGGAAGTTACCTGTATTTTCATCCCATGTCAATGGACTGTCATGCCCAGTAATTGTCAGCTGACAATATTAAATGGGTCTCATTATTTTTGGTGAATTAGCCTTTAATTTTCAGTTGAGGAATACCTTGGTTCAGCCAAAAAAAATAAAGTTTCTGCCTGTACAGACACACACACACACATATACAAATATTTGCTTTGAACTTCTTATTGCCAAAGGTAATGATACTTAACCTGATCCACATAGTGATATCTGTTTTTTATTTGCATACTTCTTATATCCTGTCTAGGTTGTTGGAACTCCAAATTACATGTGTCCTGAGCTCCTGGCTGATATACCTTATGGTTATAAATCTGATATGTGGTCTCTTGGTAAGGTTCATGGATACCTTCTTCTATTTGAAAAAGCCATTTGATATCTAACCTTTTGTAAGAATGATTGCTGGATGTTTGAGATTGATACCTTCTATTTGTATGTAAAGGTTGCTGCATGTTTGAGATTGCTGGACATCAACCAGCTTTTCGTGCTCCAGTAAGAACTTTAACCATCTGCAGGAGTTTAGTTTTTGTCAATGCAAACATAGTCTCTATTCTTCAATATATTTTAAACTAGCAAAACAATTAACATATGATTGAATGAATAAAACAGGACATGGCTGGACTTATCAATAAAATAAACAGATCCTGCATTTCTCCACTGCCAATTGTTTATTCTTCCACACTGTAAGTAACATCCCAAATCATTCCCAGTGACACACTACTGTCGTGATAATTTTTAACCTGTGCTTTTGGTGATTCAAGTATTTGTCCTCAAAGTGAATACAATTATATTCAAGCCCTGCAAAAATTTATTTTGCACTTCCAATTGTATAATCCCCCCCTACTTTCTTTCTACTGTCTTACATTTCATATAATGATGTTAGAACTGAAAGTTGACAAATGTGTGACAGGAAACAACTTATCAAAAGCATGCTTAGGAAAAACCCAGAACATAGGCCAACCGTGAGTTCAACTGAACCTATCTTTTGTTGATTAATTTGGATGAAATTGTGGATTCTAATGATGTTTCTCTTCATTGACAGGCAGCTGAATTATTAAGGCATCCGCTTTTACAACCATATGTTCTTCGCTGTCATAATGCATCATCTAATATTCTTCCAGTATATCCCATAGTTAATTCAAAGGATAAAACAAGAAGATCTAATAAATCTAGTGGTGGCAAGGACCATAAGGACAAAGAAGCAAACTTAGTAAATCGTTTGGAACGGATTCATCCAATTGAGGGAAATGGAGATACACACGTGAGTAATCTTCCTAGTGATGCTGTAACAATCTCAACCACTGCAGACGACAATATTGAGACCAGGATTGTTGATCTTACCAGCTTCATAGTGGAATCTTCTACTAGTATTAGTGGCTCAAAAGATGGATCAACAACATCTGAATCAACTATTTGCAGTGTGTGCAAGGAGGACTTTAAAAGTAGACCTGCAAGGGAAACGACTAACAATGAGATCTCTTTAAAGAGTACACAAGAATTCCTGCATGAAGAACAAACAATTGCTGCTAAACATTTTCATAATTTAGAAGATGACATTAATGCAGTGACCAAAGAAGTTGAAGATGATTCTTGCAATGAAGGTTTGGATAATGCTGAAGTACTGAGGGAAGATTCAAACCTAGACAACTCTGGTAAATCAACAATGTCCAGCGCAGGCAGTAGCAGCACTGATAAAGATAAGTCCATCAATGAGGAAAGGCCATCACTAATTATGAATCCTACTTGGGTTGAATATGATACTGAATCGGGAAACCACTTGAATGGATTTACACAAGCCTCAAATATGAACTGCTTGACATCTGATTGTAATGATGCACTTCTAGTTAAGGATGATGACACAGCTAACAGACACATTCTCTCCACACATAAAGATGATAACAAGGTGGAGGCTGATCAGACAACGAGTGGCGTTTCATTGAGTGTAATAACAGAGGTGGATGGTGATGAGACAATCACGACTATGTTGGATAGTCCCTGCCAGCAAAGAGCCGATGCTCTGGAATCTCTGCTCGAATTATGTGCTCAGCTACTCAAGCAAGATAAACTTGAAGAGCTAGCTGGGGTTCTGAGACCATTTGGGAAAGAAGCTGTATCATCAAGAGAAACAGCAATATGGCTGGCAAAAAGCCTCATATCTGCCCAAAAATTTAATCCCGAAACCTAGTTACAATAGGTTCTGGTTATAAATTTATACATTGTTGTGAGAAATGTGTAATTCAAATCTCACACGAGTTTGTTCCTTTCGAGATTGTTGCTTGGTTGAGGATTGGAGACCGGAAGATAGCATGCCACATGTTCTTTCTTGGTTTTGGTCAATGGTTATAGTAAATGAATAAAATTATTTTTGTTAGGTTGAATAGTCACCTGTGCTTGTTTTTCCAGCGGTGTAAGGGCTATTGATTGTATAAATTTTTTACTTCCCCTTTTCTTTACCTAAAAGTAGCCATGAATTTGGAGCATGATGTTTTATTTATCAATAATGATTGACAATCAATTGATAACCCAAAATAACACTACATGATATTATATTGTTATTTTAGGTTGGCTTGTTTGAGTTCTCAAACAATCATCATCCTTTATTTATTTGGTTTAAGAAAATAATGGTTTAATAATTAGATAAAAATGTACATTCAATTGACAATTTTATTAATATAATAATAAAATTTTTTGTCTTCACATTTGATTTATATTTGGTCATATGTACGACCATATAAATGTTAATTTCTGGTCAACATTTGCAGTTTGGCATCGTGAGAATCATTCTATTTTCTATATAATCATTGAGACAGTGAAATTCTCACCAACATATGCAAAATTGAGAAAAACTTGCTAGCAATAGATTATTATTTTATTATTAATTAAAATTTATTGAAAATCATAGAAATTTTCAATAGTCTCGTAAATAATTATATATTTTTAATAAATTTTAATAGACAGTGTGTTGCTAATCCTTTAAAAAATTGAGATCTAAGACGATTTTTGTAAATTGATTTTTTTATTTTATTTCAAAAAGTCTGATAAATATAGTTTGCATTATCGTTGTAATCATCAATGGTATTAAAATCATCGCATTATGTAGGAAGGAATATAGTTTGATTATCATATTATTGCGATTCTTCAAACAGTTTCCATGATTTCCATGATCTGATAATACTAATAAGATGACGTGAATGAGGTTGTGTTTGTCGAGCATTCTTTCACAACAAAAATACAGTGTTTAGTGGAAGATGTAATTCCATTAACTACAATCCGAGTTTGTTTGATTTTTCTAAAATTCTTTTAGCAGTGATTAGAAGTGGTTATATCTTAGGGTGACGAGATAACTTTGTTATGAGAAGATAACATAAAATCAGAAACAAATCAACATTTCATTAACCAATCATCGTAACAATGCATAATACATACTCAATGTTCATCAACAATTATCCCTTGCGGCACCTTCCATATCTATAACCCTTAGTGGAACAAGGCAAAGAAAGACAAAACTGAGGCACCAACCAAGGAGCCAACAAGGGGCATGGTGGCTCCACTGTCAGGGCCGGGGGCCGGAGCAGAAACCTCGGTGGCAGCCACCGCGGCGCTCATGGAGGCGGCGACGATGAGGACGGCGCAAGTGACCTTCTTCATGTCCATGATGAGTAAAATGTGATTTGTTTTGAAGACCCGCGTGTGTGCAGAAGAAACAAACAAATGTGTTTTTGTTTTATTGCCTTAGTTTGCAGGTCTGAGGTACAACGGTGGCTCTTGCATGGCATTTAAAAGACATGGTTTGAGTTATTTTGGGAAAACCCTTTTTTTAGCTTGTGAAATGTGCATGGTCTTGCATGGTTTCAGGGCTTCCTTCGTAGCTTTTGGCTGATATACATCGTACATGTGTTGTGTTTGGATACAAATGGTTTCTCAACCTCATGTTCATTATGCTCTCACTAGTTGTAATAAAACTACACAAATTAAGTATGTTTATTTATTTTTATTACACTTTTGATCTTTCATATATCAAAATTGTGTGTTTTAATCTTCTAGGTTAGAATTTGTCAATGGGATTCTTTAGACATAGTAAATGGGTGATTTTATTAGTTTCCTAAATTCTAATCGTGTTAATATATATTGTAATGGTGTGATTTTACTCTCATAGATAGGTGGTAAATCAATTTCATATAGCAACATATTCTATTTGATAGAGAGATTAAAATTATATCATTGTGATCTTTCATGACTCAATTGACATAATTTAAATATAAAGAAAAAATGTTGTGTTTTTGTAATATCTAAGAAACTAACACAATTGCAATTTGAAATATTAAATTATTGATACCTAATAGATCATCTATAGGTGTAAACAAACATGTTTTTACTATCATTTTATTTATTTGAGGGTGTGTTAAATGTAATAAATTTAGTATTAACAAACTAGTAAGAATTTCAAATGAACACAATTTATAGTGTTTGATTAAAGTTGAAACTCCATTAATTAAAGTTATTGACATTAAGAATGATAGACTAAATATAACCATTTTATTATCGTATGCGTTATTTGACGGTTTATTGATTAATTAATTAGCAAAACAACCTACTTTCAAAATAAGCAGTTGAATTTACTTGTCACCAGATTATTATTTATTAATTGCGCAGTTATAGTACACTCAAGAGTCAATAAAAATAATGGTGATGGGTGTTATATTTTCCATCATTCTATTCCATTCTCCTCAAGTACCAAATGAATCTAGAATTGTGGACCATTCTCCTAATGAAGCAACAAAGACATCATATTTGCACCATATCAGCTTCTTTGCACCGTTGCCATGTCAAGTCATGCACTTCAGCTGGCCAGAAAGTGATTTCCCACCATCTACAATGAATTATAGAAAAGAAAAGTTACCACGTTTTTACATTTTTTATTTAACTATTCCAAGCTTATCACTGACAACATTCAACATATATATTAGTTCTATTCAAGATGTCGATAGTTAAGAGATTTAGCATCTTTGTAAAAGAAGTGATGAAAATGTAACAAGAGATGATTTATTCAATTCAAGGTAAATGAAAATTGTACTGTAATATTGGTCTTTTCAGGAATCAAGTTTGTCCAATCCAAGCCATGTAACCAATTAACTGCAGCGTATCAGAAAGGGTAGGTACCAGGTTTTTCCTCCAACTATAACGTAAGAAGCTCATTGAGGACACAATACCACCTTGCATCACTAGCTTTAATTAGCCTAGTGGGGTCTCAAAAACCTTAATCTAAACGCATCATATAGTAATTGAGAATGGTTAATGATTTAATGTACCACTTACCAACTTGACAAGGATAACCTTTCAACATATACACCCCTAACAAGTCCTATATAAACTCAATTATTGACTGTGTCACTGAACAACTCAATTCACAACCAGTTCAATCTTTTTCAGTCATCTTGGTCACATTTTCACAGTGACATAAGTTTTTCCGTGGAAATATGGCAAAACTTGGTAGTTATACAGCCCATTTTTGTATTGCAGTAATGGTTTTGAGCATGTTTTACGTGACCAAAACTGTGGCACAGGAATCGGCGATAGCACCCACATCGCAAATGGAGACTGGAGCGGGTTCTTCTCTGAATGTTTCTGTGGTGACCTTATGTTCTTCTGTGCTGGCTTTTGTTGTGGCATTTATGATGCAGTGAATTGGAGGCATTTGGGGTTGAAAATTTGTCACTTGCTGAGGGGTATTCATGTTTGATTTGTCTTACGGGTTAAAATTATATACATATATATACATATTCATGATGAATTTGAAGTGTTGTTTTTGTTTCTTTACCATGCATATATGCTTGATGTTGTTTTTGGCTTTGTATGTAGTGCTGTATTAGCTTTATGATGAGTACAGCTTGTAATTCGTTAATTGGTGTGAATAGATATATGTTGTAATTATATATTGATTCCATTATATCTATGAAAAGAAATAAAGCTTTTTGAATTGGCTTCGTCATTGCTGTGCTGCTTCCAAGAACAGTGCAACACTTGTAATACTAAATTTTAATTTACTTTGGAACGGAAGATCATGGTGTTGAATTAATATTAAAATGATTATTGACTGTATTATATATAGCTCATAGAACAAACCATATTTGTTCAAATTTCATTCTGAAGTGACATGTTTTATGGAAGGATTCAATCTGTTATCGTACGTTAGAATACTTAGTTGTTGTTAGAAAATGAGATGTTTTTGTTTTGGTCTATGAAGAATGAGAAGCTTGAACAAGTCAAAATAGTCAATCCTCTTAAAATTTTCAATATTTATCTGTTAATGATTTTACTGCTAATTAAATTATAACTGGACACATTGTTGTGCTTTTCAAAATTTTTAGAATTAATTTAATTTTTATTATTAATAATCAAATCAAATTAAACAAAAATAAAATAATAACTAATATTAAAAAGTCATTAAATCTTTAATTTTAAAAAATATATAAAAGTCTCTTCCAATAATTTAATTTCAATTTTTTTTTTGTGAATATGAGATATCTCTTTGTCAAAAGAGTCTTATCTTTTAGTAAATGTTTTTTCATACCCATATATTTAAAATGTCAGATTCTTAAGAGACATGATTACTTGTTAACAATTACACACTATATTAAGAAATGATTCCGGAATAAAATTTGTGAAAGAAATTTTACAAAACACTTTTAAAATTAAAATTTACGAAGAGATTCAAATTTTAAAAATATAACATGTGGTTTAAATATAAGTAATTTTCTGGTAAAAAAAAGTATTAATAATTTAGGAATACCAATTACTGAAGAAAGAAGGTGGTGTAAAAAGCAATCACATTGCTCTCTCTCTCTGACCATAAGTCGCCGGCCTATTGGCTTCGTAATCCAATTTTCGGAGGGTCCATCGAGAAAATCATTCTTAACCCCCATTATTGAGTCTTGAAAAATGATATCCCTACTTAATACATTATTTGGTTCATGAATAATTTTTAACATCAAAATAATACGAACCAAAGGCCTATTTTTCTATAATATCAAACAATGTATAAAATTTTCTTACTTTTTTGCTTTAACTATCAAACAGTTTTCTTCTTTCGGCCCACCTATACTTGGGCCCAGCCCAATATGCTAAAACAAACACTCAGTCAGCTATGCAATGAAAAATCCAATTTTTTTTTAACATATTCAGAACGGTAAAATCATCGTTAGGAGTATTTATTTATTCTAAAATACATTAGTTATAGTTATGTAAATGGTGGATATTTTATAATGTATATTAAAAAATGTCTTCTATCAGAATTATAGAATAATCATTTAAGATAATATATGATCGAAATTTAAAATACATAACATCTAAAAGATATTTGAGATAGTTTGGAATTATGCAAGTTGTGCAATGAAAGGCCATGGAGAGATATGGGGACGACACAAGCATCTGGCACCACATCGAAGTGGGGACACATGTTTTCCATCACCAGCAAAGGGAATAACCACACAGTCACTGAATTTAGCAGCGGAAATCTTAACTCACTTTTGAAAGAAAAGAAAAGAAAAGAGAAAACAGAAAATCCCAATGACTATACACAATCCCAGAAGCAAAAGCCATGAAGCACGTGACACTGGAGTCACATGCACCGATTGGATTTGGCCATAGTCCTCCATGTGCCTTGTCCATGTCAATTAATTAAACTGAAATCTATGAGAGGATGGTTGTGAGATGTGACCAACAAATGTACTCCAATTGCAATGGAAGTGATGCCACACCCTCCAATGCTGAACCATTTCAGGCAAGAGATCCTCCATTTCCTAAACTTGCATTTATGATTGTCATTAAAGGTGCCACATAAATTCCCTAGACATGCCACTGAAAATCAGTTAATGTCACGGATGGTGATTGAAACATCAACAACAGCAACAACCACCACTACTCCTAGCTAGTGGTTTTCCAAAGAGAATGTCAGTTTAAATTAATGGGGTTTGGGATTACAATGTCAAAAATATTTAATGTCTAGTAAATATCATAATCTTGTGGAAGTCATTCAATTGGGGCTTGAAAAGCTGTGTGCATCTATGTTAAATCTGCTTTCCCTCATAAGGGAATAAAAAGGAGAGGTTTTGATTGGTGCTCGAAGATCTATTGATAGGGTATGGAAAAGAGGGAGATAAAGACACCTTCAGTTACGGAACAAGTGAAAGCAAAAGAAAAGACGGGGAAAAAGGGAGGTGCATCCACTCAACAACCCAGAGCATTGGACAGAGCAGCAAAGAAAGAAATTCAAGCAAAGTTTTTTGTACCTCTGTTATCGTATCTACCATACCAATATCTTGTTAGCAAAAAGAATAGATCCTTGTATAAAGCACATGCAGTATATGATAGGGTACCATGGTACACATACTTTGTTGCTGCATAATCATCATATTCATATAGGTGCGTGTGCTTGTGCCCTCCCTTTTGCAATACATTCAATATAACAAAACTCAGGATCCATTTGAAAAAATTAAAGTGCACCAAACTGTCAACAATTTCATCATTTATTATACGAGCTTAATTTCTTGCACCAAGTGTAAACATTTAGGGTTTAGGGTATTTTTATATATTTCGCCCACCAATCACATCATCATAACAGCATATAACTCGAACTATAATTCTATATTTTGTTCTCTAAAGTATACTACATGTTTTACTAGAGTTAATTTGTTAGTATGAAGAATGTTTAAGCTAGTTGGATGAACAACCTACATGAATTGTTGTAAATTTGTAGTATAAAAGTTTGAGTCTTCTCTTTGAATAAAATAGAAAGAGATAAACTGGTAATTAGCACAATATGTAGTGATGAAGCAAGCACAATGGAAATGATGGGAAGATGACTTTATCGAGTTTATTGGGAAGAGGAGAAAGTGGGTAGCTAGTGTAGGTCTATACCCTGTTGATAAATACTCATAACTAACCTATAATGAAAGTGTTGGATGTGAATGGTGAGGTGAAGAGGGATATATCTGAAAATCACCCGACAGAAGGCTGAGCAAGTAAGGAATAAAATGAGGGAGATTTGGTTGAGAGGTGATGGCAATAGGCATGGGTGTGCAATGTATGGTGCTGAAAATGTTGTTATTAGGGTGAAAATTGAGGACCAAAAGCTCAAATTTCAAAGAAAAAGACAAGGTAGAGAGATAGATTCTATGGAATTTCTTTCTTTCTTTCTTTCTTTATTTCTTACATATGTGGTACGAAGGTTGGCTTTCCCTAAACGATGACATGAAAAACATCCCCTACATACGGCACACCACTTTTGGACAAGCTACTACTTCATCTCTTATTCTTCTTGCTTTGCTTTCTGCTAACTTGTTCTCAACTCAAGGGCCTCATCACTCTCTTTCTATTCCCTCACTTCAATAAAGAAAAACCCCATCATAACTTTGTTTATTTATACCCACCTTGGTTCAATGCTATATCAGGAGATCATGTTTTCGATTTATAACTTCTTTATACCATTTTCTTTTTTATGATGATCATCTAAAAGAAATCAACTGCTATACTTTTATGATTGCCAATACTTTCATTGGTAGAATCATCTCGGTGTAATGAAAAATAATTTACATTTAGTTGTAATAGTTAAATACCAAAATATAGAGGGTGCATCCGTTCAAACAATAAGGTGGAAAGAGGGACAAAACTCATACAAGAGGTTTCTGCATTCCTTCCATTATATAGTCTTCTAATTCGTCTATTAATTAGTTTAAGCATCGAAATTTCTAAGTACTTAATTCTTCTTTTGAAAAATAAGAGCATAGCACCAGCGTAAATTCAACCCTACGGACAAAAGAATGAACAAAGAATTAATTTAAAGTTTTTATATGGCATATATTTACATTATGCGAATAAAATATGTTCATAACTTTATAATTAAGGTTAACAAGAACAAAATGTAACATAAACTGTTTACCATTTTGGTAAATATAAAATATGTATTGTAAAGTTCGAATGCCTACAAAATTTCATAACTTATTATCTTTTTTTATTTATTCATAACTTATTTGGTTACTACTCATTATTTGTTTTAACATACAATAAATATTTCTAATTGCTTACGAAGTTTGAAAACTCTCAACCACTATATATATTATAATTTTTTTCGAATGTATTATTTATTATTCACACATGCCTTCATGTTTATATAATTTTATTTTAAATTAATTTCAAGTCTCTATAAATATTTTACATTTATTTCCTACAATTTAACTAAAGTACAGTTACATTGTCATCGAAGAATATATTGATGAGGGTAGTGAATTTGTTATATAATTATTATAAAAGAAAAAAATAAATTATGATTTTTTTATTGTTAAAACCATTTTATGCATAAGTTAATTTATAAAAAAAATTTATCTAAATTATTAAAAGTATATTTTTAACCTACATATAAACTATTTTTAATGTAATAAAAAAATTATTTATGTGTTTATTTTCTTCTTCTAGTTGTTGTAATTAAATGAACGTGTATTACCCTTTTTTTCTATTTGTAAAGGGATATTTTACCATGCATTTTTTATCATTTCACCACAGTTTATCGTATTTTTTTTCACATATATTTTATTTTGGTCTCTACAGTATATGTCAGGAATGTACCTGCTAGAACATGTATATTTTTTTTTTCATTGGTTAGGTTATGAACATTTTGGTTGTCGTGTCCAGAGGCACTCATGTATATAGTACATATCACTTTCGCGTACCAATCATTATTAGATGCGTTTCTTTCTTGAAAAATAAAGCTGTTAACTGTGATCTGTACACATTAATTAATTAAGAATGTTTGGCTCTATGATTATACATCATCATCATCATATAAAGTTTGAGGTATGTATATATGAATACTAGTAGCCTAGTTTGCCTTAGTTCTTTCTTTCCAAAGTTTCAATCATGAAAGTCGGGTACAAAAAGTAAGACTTTGATACAAAAGAAACATTGTTTCAAGATAAATTATAACATACTTCAAACTTATATTTTCTCTCTCTCATCTTTAAGAATAGAAATTTAAGAAAACTATGACATGTTTGCATTTTATCTTTTTCTGAAAGATGCTTTTCTTTAATTTTGCATTTTCAAAATACACATGTTAAAAAAGTATGCTTTATGACACGTATTTGTAGGGTGTATGTTAAAACAAAACATTAAACCTCTATAAAATATATGAACTAATCATGAACTCAATAAAACACTAGATATAATAATATGTTACAAGTACAACAAGGGGAGTGTCCACCAAAAAAAAAAGGTACAAACAAGGGAGCGTTTTCTGAATGGACAGTTTTTGGAGCAAAGACACTGACTTTTCAAGAACATTATTTCTAAAAACACAAAGTTACACTTGAGAATATAATTTTACGCCAGTTATTCAATCTCGCAATCATATTCTACAATGTTACATAGAAAAGCAGAATTAATAATTTTTGTGAGAGGATAAAGATGGCTTGACATCCTTAAAGGGTATATACATCCCTGGAGAAAAGAAGAGATAAAAAGGTTAAAAGAAAGAGAAAAATACAGAGAGTTGTAAATTGGATATAAAAAAATGAGGTTGTTTATCATAATAACACACAAACACATAAAGAAAAACATTCATGTGTAGGTGGCTCTAGTGAAATATAAAGTATTATTTACATAGTGATGGTTCATGATTGTGTGTAGAGAGTTATTATTTGAGGGGCAATAGTTTTGCTGCAAAAGGGGTAACCGAGTGGGGGAATGAGGGAGGGAAAATACTAGAAATGGAAAATGGGTCATTAATAATTAGGAAATTGATAGCTGACTAATGTGCAAAGACATTAACTTTGGTTCAGTGATGGAAGACTTGTGGGATAGTGTCCTTTTTGCCAACTAAGAGAAACTTAATGAAATGAAGGACTTATGGCCATTGGTTTAACCAGAGGAGAGAAGCACCTAGTTACACCACTTTGTTGTTGCCTACCCTCATTTTGTTCCCTTATTTATGATCCTATGTTTTTGTAGGGTCCAGTAGGCATGTGTTATTTCTGCTCTCTCATCAATCTCTACAATAACCATACGTACAGTAGCATTGGTGCCATGTTTCTGTGTAGACTAATCGATCCTATATACTATATCCAAGTTTTCATTATGCAGACAAAATCAACTGGTGTGGGGACTCACTGTGTCAGCTTCACACTGTGCCCTTTATTCTATTTGTCTGCAGGAAGATCAATTGAAAGAGTTAATACATGGACCAAATCAGAGAAGATTTGGTTACTGTATATTTCATGCGTGCGTTTGCATATATATACACACACAGACAAGCTAGCCCTGTAATTTCATTAGAATAATTGTTTATGAGAAGAGCAAAAAAAACTTCTCTTGATTGATTTATATATATATAATGAAAGTGAACTTATTGATCTACTTTTATTTGATAAGACGGCACATTGTGAAAATTAAAATATAATGAAAAAGAGTACATAACATGATCAATCACAAAGAGGATTTGATTTTTTTAGGGTTTAATGTGTTTGCACGTTTTTCTGTCACATTAGTCATTTCAAGATGGGGCGGCTTTAACTCATTCAAATGAAATCTACTGACTAATCAAAACTTATTAAAGTGAAGTTTGATGAGCAACATATACAAAGCGTGTTGACAATTAATTGATATTGGTAAGTTCTTCAGTTAATTCCAATTGAAATTTCTTCATCAACGGGATAGTTAAATACTATAATTAGATCATGCAATTATTCCTAATTACATTGTTTTTATAGAACGCGTGATATGTGCAATTGCATGCTTAGTCAACCTCTTATATGGACTGTTATAATTCAAATTTAATTAGGTAAAGCATTCTCTTCAAACTGTCCAAGGCTGAAATAATAATGCTGCCTAACATTGCCTGGTTGGCATGATCTGTGACTTGTATCTTTGCCAATTTTTCCACCTCAGAAGACATCATTGTTCAAGTAACTAAAAATCCTAGAAGCAAATGAACTTGTAATGGTGTAAAGGAGGGAGCTATAGTAAGTAATCTAAGGCACATAATCGTGTAGCAACCTAGGAGGAAAACCAAACAGACCAAAAACTAAACAACCAAACACACACACCCAATATACCCTCATTACATTACAGCTTTGATCCTACACCCTAGGTTAATTATGTCACCACATTATAAAGTTAGGTTATTAGTTGAGTGATTACTTCAACTATCTAATTAATTGGGTAAAATATTTCAAGCCTTGTAATATTTCCACACCATAAATGTTCCATTGAGATAAAGAAAATGTATTCTTTGAAATAAAGATCATCAGGCCCACCGACTGAACTACCATAATTGATTTCCGACAATATTCTTTGAGGAGACAAGATGATCACATGATCTCTGCAAATTTGTGTGTTTTTGGACATAGGGTTTCAAGATCTATCTCCAGGCCAGACTAATAGTCAAGATGATAATTAATATTAGATCTGTCATAAAAAAAGAAAAATTAAATATAAATAAATAAATTGAGACTATAACAGATTACAATTACATTAAGAAAATAAAAGGGAACCGAACCTGCAAAACCTTAGAAACCTGGAGGAAAGAAATCAAAGGGATTCATCTCTTGGATCGTCTGCAGCAATTTTTTCTCCTGCCATCATTCTGCAGTATCACAGCCCTTGATCAATCATTACATGACAATCCAATATGGTCCTGGTTTCTGCTACAGTTTAAACTTTGTTGGATAGGCCGACACGATCCAAACTCATCTTTTTTTAGGATATTAAACATTTGAGAATAGCTCAAAATTAGTGTTGAGTAGACGAATTAGTTCAAGGCCAAACTGGGTTAATCTTAGAATTCTATCAATCATCCAAAATTAGGTTATTTTAAAAATTTGTATCACCAATCATATACGTAGTTAGATATGTAATATATATAATAGAAGACGAATACATCTAATAATAAGCATTAAGATAAACTATGATATAATTTGGATTTAAACTTAACCTACAACTTAGTTTATTTATTGATCATAAATATATATATATATATATATATATATATATAATTTTTTTTTATGAGAGCTAATTTTCATTTATATATGCTTTATTTTGACTATATTATTAATCATAATAAGATTTTCGCTGGTTACGACAACAACAATGATTTTTGTAAATTTTAACAGTGTAAAGGAATGGTGATTTTATTTTAACTATTCTCAGCTATTTCACGAGTATAGCACCTGGCTACTGTTTTGACCAATATAAGTTTTCTTATAATATTCATAACGAGGGAGAAAAATTTAGGGTTTGAGTCTATTTCAATTCCCTTACTACAATTAATTTTTTCACGGAAACACATCTATAAAACAAAATTTGATTGTGATATGCTGTAGTTTGCATAATTTTTTTTTAATTGTATCTTATTTTAGTTCTACTTTTCAAATAAATATTCAGAAAACTTTTTGTAACAATTATTTTATATTTTTTATAACGATAACATAGATATAAACAACTTAGAAAATTATATAATTTGTAAATTAATATAACTTTTATAAGAACTCTCCCATCATTTTTTTTATATTATTTTGTTTAAAATACATTTTATTAAATGATTCCAATCAAACAACAAACTTAAAAAAATCTGGTAATTTTAATAAAAGTTTCCTCCAATAATAGGTTAATTTATCTAATTAACGTTGTTTAGTTTATGATGAAAGGGACGAATGACTAATTTAAAATTCACTTTATTTAAATTTTTTTAAATTTCACCCCTTTTTCTTTTTAAAAAGTATGCTAATTATTTTTTAAAATTTTTTCTCCAAGTGTATGTTTGGCTCCTCTTTTCATTTTATATATAAAAAGTTGAGCAAAAAAAATACATTATAATACTAATAATACTTTGATGATAATTAGAAACGGGAGATATTATTTAACCTTCCTTCCCAATCTTATAGTGGAAGCATTTGTGTAATTTTTACATATACAAAATCATTGAAAAAATATATTGTTACATGACACGATTTATATAATTTTAGAACATAGAAATGACAATTATTATTGATTAATATATGCCAAGATAATATGTACCCAAGCACTTCTTCTTCCCCAACGGAGATGGATGAGAAAACGTGAATCTCATATTTTTCTTTCCAACCAAATCTCCCTTTTCATAATCTCCAGCATATGAAAGGAGGAATTTAAAATGTCTAATCAATATGAATTTGACTTTCCTTTTCCGTATAGAATAGCATAATAAACCCACCATGAGTATTATTATTTTGGTAAAGCTTTTCATTGTTGGTTGATAAATTGGAACTTATTATAGTAAAACTTAATTTGTCATCATATTTTCCCTAAAAAATAATATTCTAAAAACGATTTTTTTTTCTCTCCAGAAAATTGTTCACTTATAATTCATATGTCACATTTCTTTTTCTGTAACAGTGTATCACTGTTTAAAGAAGTGCGTAATTAATTTGACTATGGCGTGTTGAAGGATGTGAAACGGCTATGATGGATGTAACTCATGCCATTCAAGTATGATGGATGTATGGAGGAAAAAAAGTTGCACTCATTAACTGGTGCGACGATGAAGGAAGCTTTCTTATAAAGCATAAGCAGAGCCAGAGATTCTGTATGCTCCATCAATGGCTCTCGCAGACGTAATTTAAATGTTCAAGAGTAAATTAATTTTTTTAATATAAAAAATATTATATTACACTAATCTTTATTCGTTGATGGTAGAAAACTTTCAAGGTTTTATTGTTCACATTTGGTAACACCAATTATCTACACTTAGACCATTGAACCTAAATAGAATATGGGTTTCACATAGTAGTTTGTAGTAGTTATATGATAATTATAATAAAATATTAATAAGATAACGGGTTAAGGTGGTGATAATGATAGTAATAATAATATGATAATGGTGTTAATGGTAAAAATGGTAACAATTATTATACAATTATGATAACAAGTGTAGCACAAGACTTACTTATCTGAAAGTTTATATTTTAAAGGGAGTTAACACTGGATATGTTCTTGCAAATGAAAAAAATCACCATTTTTATTTTTTAAAATTACTATATTAACAGAGAAATAAGGTAAAAAATAATTAAAATATGATATGAAAACTTAAATAAAAAACAATTTTTAAAATATATCAACTAGTTTCTTATGCCCTTTGTCCCAAATACACATAAACTCTTTAAAATAAGAATTTAAATCAAATTTTACAACATTCTACTATAAAAATATAAAAAATAAGTTGAATATATACTGAGGTATCAAAATATTATATATTTTGAGTACATTATATAATTATTATCATCATTTCATTACATATTTAATATAATATGGAACTTTCAAGTTAATTATTTTCATCAACTCAGTAATCACCAAATTAAAAAAAAACTTTAAACATTAGATTTATAGATTTTTTTCATTTATAAATTAATCAACTTTTTAATATTATATTTATAGATTTTTTCAGTTATTCAACTTTTTAATTTGTATCTTATCACACTTGAATTTTTTGATAAGAAACATGATAATGAAAATAATAAGAATAACAATGTAATGATAATAATAGTAAAAATAATGACAATTATTATAATAATATACAATAAACAAAATTATAACACTAATAGTATATAAGGATAACATAGTAGTTATTGATATTATGGTAATATTGGTGCAAATATTAATAAAAGTTTTGACAATAATGTCTGGTTGTTACAATAACCATGGTATGATAGTGCTTCTTACAATAAAATAAGGGAAATTATAATTATGGAGATAGTAGTGAGAATGTTGTAATGGAAGTAGGATGATGTAAAAATAAAAGAAACATCAACTGGTTGAGAATAATAAATACATTAAATTATAATTATATGATAATTAATCAATTAAAAAAATTATATTCTAGATAAAATTGGTGTGTCAAAAATTGATTATATGATGATTATCTTGTATTATTTGATATCTTAATTATCATATAATGTATTCTAAATCCTGTATATTTCTCGGTAAACAAGCACAAGTAAATCTTATTTCTCTTGTTAGTTTTTTAAACTTGAGTTTAAACAATAATCTATTGTTAATTATAAAAATAATCATTGAGTTTTAAGGTAATTATATTAAACCTAATAAACTTGTCATAACCGTGTTTGTAATTTGGTAACATTTTGAAATTGGATTACACTATCAATAATGCATCTCATTTTCTGTTATATTTCTACCCATTGTTTTTACACAAAACGTTGTTTTATTCTATAAATATGTATTAGTGTAAAGAAAAGTAAAAATGTGAATACGTAGAGAAAAATAAATAAAAATTATTTAGACATCACAATGCTTAAAGAATTGTAACTTTGATTATCTTTATAATAGAAAAAAAATAAAATAAAGAATTCTTATCAAAATCATAACAACGCAACGAATATAGAAAATCCTAACCCTGAGAATGGAGGTTAGAGTGACATCAGAGTCGTAGAATTTCTAAACCTTCATTATAATTAGGTCTTCTAAAGTGAACAAAGGGTCTGAAACCCAGAATACAAAATATAATTTAAATTATATCCTAATTATAATCTATATATACAATATAATAACGTAACTATCTTTTAGATGTTCCATTAAATGCTTGCGTAATCTTCAACTAATTTCATGATTCTTTTCCATAATTAGTCCAAACCAACGTCCCATGTGTGCATTCTTCTTTACTACAAATAAATGAAAATAGTGAAATAAATTAAATGCTAAAAAAACAACTTTTTCTAAGTAAATGTCCTAGAAATAGTTATAGAAAATATTACTAAAATGCAATGCATCACTTAAAATACTTCGGAGTTTAAAAAAAAAATGAAAAATAGATTAGTCTTAATAATTTGAAAAATAATTAAAAGGAGGACAATTAAGTGTTAACTAAACATAAAATATTGAGGGTATTAAGTTATATATATATATATATATATATATATATATATATATATATATATATATATATATATATAATAGTTTCTTTATCATTATATTTTAAAAGGTTGATATATGCAGTATTTTTTTAAAGCAACTTGTGTATTAGCATCAGAAAGTAAGAATCTGCTGATATTTCTTCTTCTCTTTTTTCGTAGTTTTATACAACAATTTTGAACTCTCATCCTCAACTTCAGCCTATGATCACGACGTGAGATGGTGGAGTAACTTATAATATTACCTATGTAAATCACAAAAGAAAAGAGACTTTTGTTGTGCATGCTACAGTGCGATGTTTACCTTTCGTTTTTTAATTTGTTCTTCTTCTTTTCATTTTTCGTTTCAGGTAAACATCTAAGGATAGGATCCTTCTCGGAAGCTGGTGAAAGTTCTCCTTTTGAAAGGAAAAGTTGCCCCTTTAAATTTTCTTGTTGTATTTCTGAGAAAGATATCATGAATACTATGCATGTATGGTCCCGCCAAAGGGGTAACATTTTCAGTTTTTTACGAATGAGAGTAACCCCACCAAACCAGACCATTCATCCAACAAATCAATGCACTTAATTAATCAGTCAAAACTTGATCATATCCAAAGCCCTAATCATAATCTGTGTGTCTTTTTAATTAACTATGTGTCGCCACCGCATATCGCCAATATATCAAATGATCCAAGAACGCTTTGAGTCGTTCTTCTGTTAGACTAATTAAATTCTCTTTGGTGGAGAACTTTGATTAATTTAATTTGTTTAACATGAATGTGTTATGTTATATTAACCCAGTGGTATATTGTTGTTGGAAGAAAACATAACAGTGAATAAAAGCTTTTACATGATGACGATTCTCCTGCAATAATTTCTTTTTCCGTTTGAGTCTCTGCACAAACAATAACTACAAGTTAAAGTAGCTTCCCAGATCAAAGAGGAAGAGAAATTCTAAATAATGATGCCAATGGATTGAACTTTGTGTTTAAGCTGAGGCAATTGACACATATGTGATGCACATGTCATTCAGAATTAAAGTTGAATGAGGTGGGAAACGAACAAGCTCTATACTTGCCCATTAAGTATAGTCATATCAAGATAGAGACTGATACTGTAGTGACATTCTTCTCACTTAGATTTTATCCATCTAGCTAAAGAATCACTCAATAACTGTTTCGAATTTGATTAGCTTTGGTTAATTATTTTTAATGTTATGACAAATGATCCTGTTTGGGTTAATTTATGATTGCTGAAACAGCAGTGGAAACATAAGAATAAGGATGTTTATGATCCTATGATGCTTTTCAAGTTTGCAAGTACCTTTCAAAGGTTGTTCGTGTGGGTTGTGGTCATGAGTGCCCTTGCCTGCGGCTTTCTTTAACTTTAGTTTGTTTATCTCAAATAGGATCTTAGCAAGTAGACCTAATCGATCACACCCATGTCCCAGATAAATAAACGAATAAAAAAAAAATAGATTTATACCAATCTGATTCGATGGCCATGAACGTCAAACGCAACCTTTAATCACTCCTACCTTGAGAAAAAAGGAAAAGGAACCTCTTCAAAAATCATTCTCTCATCCACATATGGTGATAACTGCTTCTGTGTGTGTGTGTGTGTTTTGTCCAAGCATGGTCTCTTACTTCTGCTTCAAGTTTTTTCTCCATATTCCCCAAACAAAAAAATACCCTATACCCACAAGTTGGGGAATCGCCAAACATCAAAGAGAAAAGAAAATGATCAAAGTAACCGAGCATATGTCATTTGGATAACGATAAATGTGAATTTTTTTTATTTTTTTTTGAGAATGGAAATAAAAGGAAACTTAGTTCTCTAGGGTAATCCAAAAGAAAGTTTTTTTGTGTGTGTTTCCCTTTGCTTTGCATATATTTAGATAAATGAATTTTCATTTTTCATATAGTATTATTATTATTATTATATAATCGAAAAAAAAAAATTTCCTTTCAAAGTTATCGTGATTATGGGTCAAAATTATTTTTGCCTTTTTCCCTTTTCCTTTTATTGATTGGGGCCTCACTAACAAAGTTGTCTCATCTACTTTGAGGAGGACCAAAAGTACCTCAAATTAGCCCTCTTAGAGTGGTCCATTTATTTAAAGGATCATATATTTTGTTCCTACCCAAAGCCATGGTAATCATTTCATTTTAAAACAAATATATATATATATATATATATATATATATATATATATATATATATATATATATATATAATCCACAAAACATGCAGATATAATTTTTGTGGATTATGACGTTCATGCATTTCCTTTTTATCTCATTCTGATTGGCTGCATATCTAAAAGAATCAATATGGTAAAGTTCCTTAATTAGTCCTTTTTATTATATATACACAAAACACAATTCATTGATGTACCTATGTTTACCCTAACTTTTTCCAAATTTGCAATGTATGATTTGGGTAGTGGTTCTAGGAGTGTTTTTGAGTTGTTTTGAGATAAATTCAATAAATAATTGTATTGTTAATAAAACATTATACAAATTATAGAGTAAGTTTGTGTTTGGATTGATGTGGAGATATGAAAAAGTGATTTGTGAGATTGTTTGGATTGAAAAAAAAATAATGAATTTAAAAGAATTTGAGTGGATTTATTGTAGTTAATTGATATAATTGAAGGTAGGATAATTAAATAATAATATTTTTAGTGTAATAACCAAATTATCTTTGTGAAGTTGGATGTGATATTTATGTAAATGAGAAAAATTAACGAAAGTAATTAGGACATTTTATCACTTTTTTTACTATGTCTTACTGTCTCAGAATGAATTTGTGAAAGTGTAAGACTTATTATCTATCACTCCAAATCTACTTAAATTAACAAAAATAAACCAATAGATTTTCCCATAAATCCTCTATCACGATCAATTACTAGAAGCAAACAAAGCAAAAAGAAAATATTCTATAACCTACAAGATCCATCAATGAATGATGTTTATGAACAAATCAATATACCAATCTGAAAGGGAAAAACCTGTTCCTATCTAGAAAGTGATATTGATAAAATGAAAATAAGAAGTAAGTGGTGAGGAAAACAAATATGAATGTTAAAGTTGATGAAAGAATTGATTAAATATGTGTGTTTAACGTGTTGATAGGAGCGGAAAAGAGTTCAGATTCCTCAAGTAGGAATGGAGGACCGAGGACCTACGGGGTAAAATGGTGGCCCCTCTCTGCCCTTTCTTAACATATAATTTTATTACTAACAAACACTTATTTTTCATTTTTTTAGCTCTTAATTTATTATCCTCTAAGAAAATTATTTCGTTTTTCAATCTCAACCGTAAAATTTTAGATTTTTTATAAAAAAATTTACGAAATGAGTTTTCTACATTTTGTTTTTAATTTTGATCGACAGATAATTTGCTCTGGATAAAAAGTTATTTACGAAATTAAAATTAAAAAAATCATATAAAAAAACCTGACAGAAATTTTATTGTGAAAAAAATTGCAAAAAAATTATCAAGTATATTTTTTAAATTTAAATTTAAATTTTTCAGTTGTGAATTTTAAAATTTGCATATAATTATTTTGCAAATTCCAAATTTCTTAGTAATTTTTCTTGCAGAATTCACATTTTGAGTAATTTATTGCATATTTAATTTGCATATTGCAGAAAATTTCTTAAATTAAAAATAAAATATATATATATATATATATATATATATATATATATATATAATTTTTTCTTTCAACATAATTTATAAAATCATTTTTTATTTGATCTATAAACATTAATAAAATTAATATTAGTGTTAATACATAATTACTTCATTTAATATATACATGTGTGTCTATATATATAATATTAAAAAAATTAATTTAATGAAATTTATATTAAAACATTATAATGAATATAATTTAGCTATTTCATTTTAGTTAATAATTTAATTGAAAAATATTATAAAAAATATATTAAATAATTAATCTACCAAAAGAATATAAAATAATTAAGAATACAAAATGCCAAGGTGTATATTAAAAAAAAAATTTACCCTAGAAGGAAAAATGAAATCAGACAATTTTTATCGGAAAAAAATCCAACTAACTAAAATAGTCGAACTAAAATTTGCGGGGTTTTGTTTTTCATATAAATTTTAGCAAACAAATCTACAACTATTTATTATGGATAAATTTTCACAACGAACATCTCCATTTATTTCTGGTAGATAATTATTTTCAGAAAAATCTTTAATAAATAAGTTATTTTTTATTAGTGTTAACTTATATATTCGTTTCTTAGTCTTAAATCTTAGTCACTTAACTTTTAATCCTGTTATAAATATATTTTTCACATAAATAAATTTAAATTATTTATAATTTTTATTTTTTATATGAGTAATTAAACATAATGTTCTTACATTTTAAACAATTATATTTAATTAATTTTCTTACTTGACCACTGAGTGTGTGGCTCTAAAGGTACTATTCATCATGTTTAATGATGTAAGACTAAAACCTTAAATATGTAATTGCATTAAATATTTGAAAACAAACTCTAAATAGTAACCTAAACCTAAATCCACAATTCAGGCATGATTATACATGTAAATGGGTGAAATAAATTTACAAGTTACTTGCATGGTAAAGTTTATTTATTTTAATTCCTCCTTAAGTCTTGTAACACCCAATAATGCAATACATTTTATTTCATCTCTAATTATTTTTTTTCTTTCCTTTCCAATGTGGGATAGAATTTTATCTTATGTTTGTTCAATTCTTAAAATATTTAATCAATAGCTTTCTATTGTCCCTTTCCTTTTACTCTCAACCATTTTGTTCCATCACATTTTATTAATTTTACTCAAGATTTCACCTTAGGATTGCATAAAAAAAAAATTATTCCAAAGGTATCACCTTTGACACCTAGCAATATATATATATATATATATATATATATATATATATATATATATATATAAGAGCTAGTTATTCGAGCCAAGGGAGACAAAGATGTCCCTACTGTATTGGAATATGAATGCAAAAGGAGAATACACCTTGTAACATATTCTTGCGTGTTGGGTTGTTTGGTCTCCTTTACATGGTCATGGCACGGTATATCATATGGGGCTGCAAAACTACCTCTAAACACTGTTCATATTAAATCATTTATTAATTTTATATTTTATTGGTGGATGAAATGTGTTGAACAATTTTGATTATTCTCATACTTTTTTTTTCTCTCATTTCTGTTGATTTTTTTGGTTCCTACTTATCTTTCCTACCAGTTTATCACATCACTCGTCACTTTCCTTAATCACTTGTCTTTATTCTTTTTCTCTCTATATATATCTGCTGTTCAACTGGTGCATATACCTCGCATAGGAGTAAAAATATTGGTACCCTAATTATTTCATCCATTAGAAAAGAAAGTTGGGAGCCACAATAATTTCAACGTAGAAAGAAAAAGAAAAGAAAAATATTATATGTATAGGTCCAATGAACATAATATGGTCCAGTAGTAGTTGATTGGTTTTATCTACAATATTAAATGATGCATGTACATGCATGGATTTATACATACGTTACGTAGTTATTATCACTTGCAGTCCTTTTTAGTGTTAAGATTTAAAGTTTTCTACGTTGTTTTGAAAAATAAATTGAAGTGATGATTAATGTGGATCACCCGTTTGTGACCTTGTTTCGTAATCACAGTGCAGGGCATATTGGGGGTATGGGTGGTTTTAGGATAGGGACTTCCCATAAAAGCACAAATGCCACACAAAAAAGATGATGGTGAGAGAGAGAGAGAGAGAGAGAGAGAGAAAGATGATCTGATGGAGGTAGGAGAGAGTCTCAACAGGTCAATATAGTGGTAGGGTTGGTCTCCACAACAAAAGGGTGGGATATTGATGGTCAATAAATGCTTTAATTACATTTTGCTACTGAGTTCATCTATTCAATTCCCACCACTTCTTACCCTCACAAAAACAGTTAGTAACACCACATGCCTGTCGTCTAACACAGGACAGTAGTAGGTTAGTTTTGAGTAATTATTCATTTAATATACCAACAAATTTTATATATTCAACAAAAAAAATAAAAATCCACCCTAATATCTGCTACTAATTAATCTCATGAATATATATATACACTGATTTGTAGTTGCTATAAAAATAATATACTGCTATATTTTGTTTGAGATATAGTAATAAATTTCTAATGATGAATAGTTCTGCTGAAGAATTGAATAGAGAAAGACAAAATGAAATATCATCTTAATTAATTAAGTGTACGACCTAATGATTATATTCTCTAAGTTCTGTTTTTGAAGCAAAGAGAGGGTCTGAATGGAACTAAATTAGAAGGCAGAAGGTATAATTTGATCAGCCATGAAAGGGAAGCATGCAGAAACAGAAGAGATGTTTGATTTCGTTTGTTTTGTTTCAAGGGTTCGATTTTTGACATTGTGTGAATTGTACATCACGTATACATGTACGTACCATATGGATTGAAGACTGCACCTCAATTAGAGCAGAGAAAAGAGGTCAAAATTTGCTGAAAGGTCGTTTCAGTGTACAGTTTATCCATCAGATATGGAAGGGAGGTGTGTATGCACTGTAGGGGGCATCGGTATATGTTGCCAATCAGCCCAACCAACACAACTTGGGCTCCACAGTCTTGCAGTTTTCATCTCTCTCAGCACAACACATGAACAACTTTTGCCCATTCTCTCTCTCTCACTCTCACACACCCTTTCTCTCTCTCTAACCAAAGCTGCAAATGAGATCCACTTCATTGCAGTAGTACCCTCATACCTTGCAAACTTCACACTGGGACCATTATGATATCACCCATCCTACCTAAATATCTTTCGATATCCTCCTTTATAATATGTATTTCTCTTAAAAAGCTAATCATTTGCTTTGAATTTTCCAAGCAAGGGTGAATCTGAAATGGTATATGTTCCATCTATCAACAAACACATATCTTCTCCACTACCCAAAGCAAAAGGGCATCATATGCACCACCCCAACAAAAAGCTGACGTATATTTCAGTTTCACAGCATGAAAAGCCTATCTAATCACCTAATACAATTAGCCATAATATACTCTCCCAACGCTTTCTTGTTGTGCCAAATACATCAGTTTAAAACCCTTACCCCTTTTATTTACCATCCCTTCACTTTATTTGCCTTTCCCGCGCACAAATTGTGTATTAATTAATTATATTATTCAATACGTACCAATTAGGTCATCTTGAGAGAAGAAAGCAGGTTATCGATGCCATAATATATGTGAAATGCCCCACAGGTATATTTTCTTCATGCACATGCATCATGTCCCCCAAAGTTTGAAGATGATTATATATAATGTATTTGAGAGAGAGAGACGGAAAAGGCTCTTGTTCATCTTGACCACTTTTTCGATAAATTACGTTTATGGTCATGGTTGGGTTGTGACTACTTCGATTGCACTAAAGCGTTCCCGTTAAATCAGCAGTAATTATAATGTGATATAGTGTTTTCAAAAATTGTAGTTGAGGCAAAAATTGTAATAATATATAACAATTTAAACTATAGAAATGCATAATGAATAGATAAAAACAAGAACCCTGCATAACTACAGAATTATATACGATGTAAATTTTTGTAAGCATGGTTACATATCTGATAAAATACACGTAAATATCTGGTGCCTCTATGCTGATAGCTCGGCAAAATGAACCCACACTGAATAAAGAAAATGATGGAATAAATTGATTTAAATAGAGCTAGAGGCACTACTTTACCATTAGTCAATAATCAATGAGCTTAAGCTTTGCTTTTGCTAAAGATAGAAATCAAATAAGAATAATAGTAAGCATCTTAGCAAGAGAAGGGAAAGGTGTCTTATACACGAGAACAAATTCGAAGAAGTTGGATATATATATCTAGCTTTACCAGCTCTGTGTTTTGTATCCAGTCTCTAGTCCTAGCTAATATGCGAACAGAAGAAAGAGAAAGAAGAAGAGATTAAAGAAAAGATTGGCTTTCCATCAAACTTGATGCTTATATATATAGTGCTGAAATAGGAAGCCAATCCTATTATATATATATATATATATATATATATATATATATATATATATATATATATATATATATATATTCATATCCCCAATCATTTCACAAAATAACTAGGATAATTCACATACATAAACCTAGCAGTCTCATTAATCACTGGGTGGAATCATCATTATCTTGTTCTACCTCAGATGCTGGCTCATCTTCTTCTTCGAAACCATCGATTCCATAAGCTGCATGGCCACTCCCAAAAGCTTTAATATGGTCTTTAAGAGATCTCTTGTGCTTGAAATCGGAGCCGCAGATGCAGTACCAAAGCTTGCCACAGTTCTTCTCATGAGTCCTCCAATCTCCCCTCACTGCAAAAGCCTTGCCGCATTTCCTGCACATGAAGGGCTTAATCCCATGCTTCCTCTTGTAATGCGTTTGAAGTGTTCTAAAGTCTTTGAGAGGCTTTGCTCTTGGGTGATCAATATTGTTTCTGCACCCTGGGGCACAACAGTAGCAAGGAAGCCTCAGCATGCCCGTCGGTTGGGTACCCCTTAGAGATTCAGGTCCTTTTCTGTACTGTGATCCATGCCCCCACATATGCATCTGAACACCCCCTCCCCCCCGCCCCCCACCCCCAAAACAAAATGTTAAAGCACAGAAATGTTTCAATTAAGATAACAAATTAAGCTATTACACAGAAGCTTGAAACAAAACAAAAAAATCTACTAGCTTCACTAAGTTAGTTAATCTCAAGGGTTTGTTTCATACTGAATTTGTTGCATCATATTAAGATATAACAACCACAAAGGTGCTAAGACATAATTTGGAGTACAGGTTTTTTGTTTTGGTTTTTCAAATTATAAGAATACATCTACGAATCATGACGAATACTGGAGGTTACATAAATGTATACTTTGATAGCAGTCGCTTCTAAGGAACAAAAGGCCATCTTCGTAAAGAGCAAATTTAATAAAATTTAGATGAGTACTAGCACTTTCATAGTTTTGTTTGCAATGGAAAAAGAAGGAGGACAAACGAAAAAGGGAAAGAGAAGAGTAGATGTAGGCTAGCTATGTCCCATGTATGGGGCATTCAGGACCAAAGGACCACAAAGAGAAACGAAATTGGTGTAATTATCTGAGCGATCTGGAAGAAACTCTGCAAGATTTTCAGTTCTACCAAAATATATAAAGAGCACAGACTTCAATGTACTGAAGGCATAAGGAACATAGCTTGAGTTGTTTAATCAACGAAAAGGAAAGGTGGTAAGGTACTGATCCCAGTCTCAGTCTGAATCAGGAAACCAGTCGTTCATTATTTAACCAAATTATATATATCAACCCCGCTCACCATGCAAAAAACAACCACAAATTAAACTTTTTAAAAAATCAAATAAAATTATGACTGGAGGCAAATAATCATAATTTATAACCCTGTGAAAAAGGGATAAAAATAATTAATATATAGAAAAAAAATAAAGAAAATAAAGGAAAGGAAAAGCAAAGACCAGTAGCATAGATGACTAGCCAAGCTTTTCCTCTTTCCATCGAAGCATCAAGGAACCGTTAGAGGTTCAAATCAGGGAAGAAAGTTATAGACAGAAAGGAGAAGCAGAAGCAAAGGAAAGGAAAATTTCTTTTATATATATTTTTTTTCTTTTGGGACCTTGAATTAGAAAGAAAGTAGTGGAAGAAGAGCTTATAAAAAAAAGGTAGTAGAAGAAGAAAGGGACATGAAGAATTAAGAAGGGTGGAGGTGGAGGTGGAGGTGGTGTATACATAGATTTTAAAATAAATCTCCAACCACAATTTCAGCAGCAACATCAAGATTTTTAGGGTGTCGGTGACCAACACACGGATGCATCCACGGTTATTTCTTACAACATAGAAAATACGAGAAGTTGCGACCACGTCTGCAATTTAAAAAACTTGCGTGACAGTCATTGATGTGTGTAATATATACCTGCATGTTGTTGTATCTGTTGAAAGTTTTGCAGCAAACAGGGCAAGAGAACTGAGTAGGGCCAATGAGAATCTGAGAAGGGGTAGGGATCCAGTACTGGCCCTTGTTGAGTCTGAAGCCAGCAGAAGAATCCTCGGCAGCACCATCTCCATGATCTTTGTCAGTGGTCTCTGAGGAAGAAGAGAGCACAGAAGCCATCTCAGCAGCACTAGGGCTTGGCAACCCTATGTGGAGTGCAACAGTGACAGTCCCATCTTCATCATCCTCTTCCTCTTTGGGGTGGATGTGGATCCTCTCCTCCACATCCATGCAAGAAAGGTCCTCCTCCTCCTCCTCTTGCTTCGGCGGACTCAACCTCAAGAGGGGTAGCTCTTCTCTCAAAGGAGGGGAAGGTGGAAAAGAAGAAAAAGTAGTAGTAGTAGTAGAAGTATGGTTGTGGTGGTGGTAGTGGAAAAAGGTGGCGTCGTTGGTTTTTGAGTGGTTGATGAAGTTACTGTGGTGAACATAGGGAGCGTGTGGAGAAGGGTTTGAAGATGGGAAATGGTGATTGAAACGGAAGAAGGGCGAGGATGAGAAAAAATTGGAGTAGGGGTCAGCCATGGGTGAAAAAGGTAAGTTTGTGAGTGTTTTTTTGGGTTTGAGGAGAGAGTGGGAACAGTTTATGGCTAGTTGGGTTTGCTTTTATAGAGAGATAGAGAGAGTACAAGATGGCTGAAGGAAGTGGACGGTGGAGAGAGAAAGAGAGAGTGAAAGAGATTGCATTGTGGCATCAGACATGGGAAAGAAGTAAAGGAAAGTGGAAGAAGAAAATATATAAATTATAATAATTTGTGAAAAAAAAAAACTGTCACTTTAATTAGTCTTTCAATTTGATAAAAAGGGTTTTTAATCAGTTAAAAGTTAAAAGTATGCGTGTAGGAATCTAATGACAGTTTTGAAAAAAAAATTAAATATTAAATTTTAAATTAATATATACGTTAAAATTTAATAAATTAAAATTGAAATAAGAATAAAAATATAGATACAAAACTGTTCCTGTATTTCAATAATAATATATAATTATATATAAAAGAATATTTTTTTATAATATTTTTTATTTAAAGAAAAATATTTATTATGATTTATATATTTAAAATCTAATAAAAATAAAAAATATTTAAAAAATTATTAAAAATCTGACACGGACACCCCTTAGCCTGTGTTCTAATAAATTATACGTAAATTTATTTAGAACGCCGTTAACAGAAGTTTACGGTTACAGCCTTCATACGAATACTAATTTTTCATTCGTTTCGTTGCCAAAAGTCAAGCGATCTCCCACGCGAGACTCGCCACTGTCACATAAGCGATTACATTTTGAATCACTTATTCAATGAAGTGCTTTTTAATAGGTTAAAAACTAGTTTTATATAGTTTTTTTTTAATATTTTATCAAACAGAATATTTCAAACATTAAACTGATTTTTTTCTTCAATATAATATACTTTTTATTTTTACACATAATTTTTTAAAGAATAAATAGTTTACGCGCAAAAAAAAGTATACTTTTCATTTCATCATAAATTATTATATATAATACGTTTATTAGTTCTGTTATAATTATTTTAATAGTTATACTAATTTCTAATTTATTTTTTTACAAGTTAAACATAAAAAAAAAAAAAAGACACCAACCACCAACAATGTTTCTGCTCATTTGTAATTACGTTACTATAATTCCCATTTTATTAGAGGCTGGATTACTTGTTAATCTCGTTGGTTATTATTTAATTTAATTTATTTATTAATATAAGGTTCAATCTAATCGTTTAACTTTTAAAAAATAACAATGTAATTATTCTGTTTATTTAATTGACGTTATTAATCTTATAAAACTACTACTACTACGTATTGGTTATACATTATTATTTTATACATTAAAAATATAAAATATTTTTTCGTGATATTATAACTAATGAGATAAAACAATTATATTTTTATATTAAAAAAATCATTAAATGTTTTGTTAATAAAGAGTTGTGAATGTTAACATGTTCCAAAAGTTTCTTATTTGACAATATATTAATTAATTTTATATGTTATCATCCAATCACGTAAGTTTACATTTATTTACTTAAACCAGAATTATATTATCGTAAAAACTTACATGTAATACACATGAAACATTTTCAATTATATTACAATTAAAGTAACTAAAATAAAATGAGTAGGATTCTGATTAAGAAAATTAAATATATTAAATAAAATACTTATATATAAAACTATTAAAAGTACTAAATATATTCTTCATTAATTGATTTTAAAGTTTTAATAAATATCTTTCAAGGGCTGTCACGTAAAAAAAAAAAAACAGAAACAATTCTTTTACTGTAATGAATGTTTATTATTGGTCATTCATAACTAAAACTAAATATTTATGATAACAATTAATAAATAATTATACTAATTAACCCTTATGGTGAGGATAAAAGTTAAAATTATAAAAGAATCTAAATCTAGATTGTTTGAAGACATTAACCCCCATGGCTTAATCAAATTACATAATTTTGTTCCTATCTAAAACATATCGTAATTTGTTTGAAAAATATTACATCACCACCATTTTTATATATGTCATAGTTTCAATTACAATTTATTGCCCGATGAAAAATTTAACTTACATCGAAATGAAGGAATATAATGATACTTACATCGATTAGTGATATTGTAATTATATAGAAGAATACAATTTTTAATCAATTTTAAAATAAGCATAAGATGAAGAATAATCCATTTTTTTCCTATAACGATAAAAAATTAATTAGTGTTCAAACTAGTAGAAGAAAATGAAGAGTTAAACGAAAAATAACTCTTATAAAATTGGTTTTACATTAACTTATATCTAAATAAAGTTTTATAAGGAGTTATATAACCAGAACATGATTGTTGAATCAGAGAAATGAAATGCACATCCTCTTCAACATAGCTGGTTTTCATTACAGCGTTTGATTTAAACAGATGAAGCAGAAGTGGGACACGATGGCTAGCTTAATAATAATGAGTAAGGACAAGACAGTTGTAACCATACAAAATTGACAAGGTTGTTGTTCACCTAATGTCCACACTTCTGAACATAAATGCTTCTACAGTTCCATTCTATCTCAACTATGCGTCTTCACTCTCCTCCCCCATGCCACGTTTTAATTTCATATCATCCCCTCCAATTCATGTATACATCATCATAGTGTACCAAAGTGTATCAGTGTCTTTGTTTTGATGCCATTGAAATCTTTAATGCAAGGATGAACCTTGCATTTTCTTATTGGTGTCTGTCATTACTGCTTGCTTTGCTGTTTGAAATAGTTTCATCTCCAACACATTATCTGGGGTTATCCAGATTATCAAGTTCAATATACTCGTCTTTGCGAATAAGGGTTTTGCAATAGATTTGGATCATGAAAAAATCAATTTTTCTATGAAGATTTTGGCAGGTTTTCATTTCATTTCTATAAAATGGTAGTAACATATACGTAAGGTCATGTGCGTTCAGCATAGAGATCAATGAAATGGAATTTAAACTTTAAAGAAAAATAAAGAAGATGTGGTTGGTGACTAATTAATTAGATTTAGAGATTGCACACATCCCATTAAATCCAACAAACACAACATTAAACTGGAATGTGTTTGGAAAGAGATGACAGACACAAGAACACATGAAACAATGCTGTGAAGTTGAAAGGATAAATGCAGGGACAAGAAACAAAGCAGTTCCAATCTGCGGCCAACATTTCCATTGGTGTTCGCACACTGGTCGGCTATCTTATCAATACTACTTTAAATTTTATGAGTTTTTGAGTAATTTAAAGGGGAAATTTAAGACATTCAAATTAAAAGTTTAATAAATTATTTAATGCATTCAAAACTGTAAATATTATGCTTTCTGTTTACTTTTACTCAGTGTTTTTTTATTCAAATTAAAATATTATGCAGTCAGTAATTTAGTAATAAACTAATAAAAGATTAAATATTTTTTAGTCATAATTGTTAGAATTGCGAGAATGTTCGCATGGTCGGACAAAAACTAAGAGGGGGTGAATTGATTTCTTAACAAAAATTAGGTTTTCAAATTTTTCCCCAAATTTTACCGATTAAAAAATGTGTAAATGTAAATAGAGAAGAGATAGAATCTTACACAGGAGATTTATACTGGTTCGGATCAAAAGATCCTACGTCCAGTTGCTAATCACTCAAACAGAGGATTAACGCTGTCACTATAATCACAGTTGTTACAAACAGATTACAATTGAAAATATAAAATAAAGAAAACATCTCTCTTGAAATTCACAAGAGATGAAGAACAGTTTTTCCCAGAGACGGCACAACACACAATCCACTAAGAACTCCACTTAGTGATTCTTATCGCTTCTAGCCCACACCCAGGTTTCAAAAGCCCCTTTTTCTTGCAACAAACAGTTCTCTGGTACTCACAGCACTTAACTTTTGTATGAAAAATGTTGTTCTTCTTTTCTGAGTGTCATAAAGAAGCTTAAGTAGAGAAATTAGGGTTTGAGAATTGGGATTTTCGAAACTAGGAGTCTTGGAATTACGGTTTTCGAAAATAGGGTTGATTTGAAGTTAAAAATCAAAATCTGACTAAAATAATCGATTAAATGAAGTGTTAATCGATTATTACAGAGTCAAAATCAACAGAACCCCAAAAATCTCTGTTTTAATCGATTAAAAGACCTGTTAATCGATTAACAGGGGTGTTAATCGATTAAACCAGTGAGCAGATATAGAAAATGATTTTTCTCACTGTTTTAATCGATTATTTCACCATTTAATCGATTAAAGCCGAGACACTTTGATAAAATTGAGCTTTTTGAAGCTTCTAAGGTGCAGACTATGTACCGACTATCTCAAACTCTAATATTACAGACTCAATCTAATCAAAACAGAGTTATTACACTATAAAACAAGTCTTCAACTACGTTCTTGAGTTCTTGAATCATCATCAAAATCAACAAGCTTCATGTCCATCAAGTCTAACATCAAATCCTTGAATGTTCAACAATAATTTTGAAAAAAAAAAATCTTGATCTTCAAACTCAATTTGGTTTTAAATTTTTTTAATTTAGGAAATAAAAAACACGTTTTAATCCTTGCATCCAACCTACCCAAGCTTCATCAAAGTAAATATTTTGAAAGCAAAATTTAGATATGAAAATGAAAAATAGCATAATTGGTCATATAAGCGACCTATAATTCGTTAGTCCCATGAGTGAATTTTCTAATGACATTTGAAGAGAGATTAAAATGATTTCCTTTATAATTTACAAGGATTAAAAAAATATCAATTTTGAATTTAGAGAATAAAAATTAATTTATTTCAAATTTAAAATATTAGAAAAAAATTTAAGCCATAATAAAATCTCATAGTATATGGATATATTTCTTCTTAAATTTCAATGATTTAACTTCGTAATATATTTAGTTTGGATTAGACGTAAGTGTAAACATGGATGTTAATGTTTTATTTAGAAAAAAAGGTGATGCTCTTAATTAAGTCTATAATGATAATATTATTTAAGATAGTTATTGCATTTAAAGTATTACTCATTTTAAAATTTTAATATGTTATAATTTTTTAAAATTATGTAAGGTATTATATATTTTAAAATTTAGTCTTGAATTTTTAAGTGTTTGTTATCTATAAATACACCCGAAAAATATTAAAAGAGTTTGATAAAACTTTAAATGAAAATAAAAAAAATAAGAAAATCAAGGATTGTAGCTTGGTGTGTGAATAAGTTATTAAAAGTTGTGATATGATGACATTTTAAGAGAATGATCATTATTTCATTCCACCTAATATATTGGCATGCAAGTGTTTCACAAGATTGGAAAGGATATATATAATATATATAAACTTTATCATATTTATAAAATGATATTTCAACCATCTCTAAATATTACACGCTTTTAATTAATTTAAATTTCGTTAAGATAATTAATTTGTATCATCAAATTTAAATAACAGTAGTGAAATTTTAATTTTTAAAACTAAATTCGTTAGTTCTTTCATCTTCATAAGAGAGAAAGAGATAACTACTTCTAAATAAAGATATTTTTGTTACAAAATAATTTCTTCGTTTCATAACGATTGTACCCTCTCTTTTTTTAATAAATAAAATAGTTTTATTGAGACAGATGTAATATTTTTTTTTTAAAGAAAAGATTAAAAAAGTGTCTAACAAAAAGAGTAGTTAATTTACGAAGAAATTCATAGAAAGTTGAAAATAAAATTTGAAATTTCTAAAAGACTAAAATTGTGATCATTGAGGCAGAGGGAGTAATATACACACAACAATTCATAAATTATATTTTCAGATATATTTATGTTGTTTTTCTCTCTCCGTTATTATTACATGTTATAAATTAGATAGGTCCAAAATAAATATTGTTGGAATGTTAGAGGTACTCTTGTAACCCTCTCTTTCAAACCCCATTTATTATTTGAATCTCTCCCAGTTTCAAATTCTATGATCTCCAATAATATTCAGTCAACAACAAAGTGTGTGAGAGAGTATGAGTGTTGTTAAAATTCTTCTATTTATACCTCTATATTAAAATTTTATAGCTTTTAAAATTCAAAATGATATTATTATTTTAGTAATTATACATTCATTTTTTACCCAGTCTTTCACTATTTTATTTTATTATAAAATAAGAATATAAAAGGGAAAACAACAACTATTTTATTAGGATAAAAAAAAAACATTTTCTGTTTTTCTTTTATTTTTATAAGTAATCTTTAGATGATAGATAAAAACAAAAGATAATAATTTATTGTATAAGTTTTTACTCATTATCAATAACATTGCAGCTGTATTAAGAGCAACAGTTCACCATTAATAACCCATGCCATATATATATATATATATATATATATATATATATATATATATAGGTGTACATATGCATATATAATATACTTATTATTACCAAACAAAAGTACTTAATCACCTATAATTAATTCATTCATATACAACCAGAGTATAATTGTACAATCTTCACAGTAAACTCTGTAGCAGAAACAGTGTCTGTGCTTCCACTTTTATTAATATTATAACTTAATGTGTTATCTTCACCTTTTTTTCCATTCTTAATAGTAACTTCTTCTCACTTACTTCACGATACTCAAAGTTCACCCTCTTGAAGACCTTTTCCAAATGTGAAAACATGTAGCAGTATTTTGACCAAATACATCATGTGATACTGGGGGAAGCACTATATGCATAGGTTTGTCTTTCAGTAAAAATGCAAATAATCTGAATATTATTTTGAATATGTTTAAGAGATTTAATGATTTATGGACTCTAACATGGTTTGGATACATTTAACAAAAAGATAGAGGTAAAATTTGTGCAGCTAAAAGGAGACACCATAAAACAATTTTAGCACAAAAAGAGTATGTGTTGACCAGATCGAGATCCCATGCTTATTTCATCCTTTATATTTCCAAGACTGCTCGGTTGAGTTTGCATTGTAAAATGAGAATCAGTAATTAACTAAACATCATTCTCTGTTTCCATGCCCATGTCTTCTGAAAACTTCCAAATATCTATACCCTGCAATTGTCAATCCCTATACTCACCACCAAGAATAAATAACAATTCATGGTATTCTAAAAAGCTTTTCATTTGAATTTTTTTGTTGTTAGTATAAAAAGAGGCATTATTTTTACTTTGTTCTTTTAAAATACTTACGGAGTCTGCTTTTGATCAATGCTATTCAATGCACAACTTTTAAAATAAAAATGGTAAAAAAAATTCGCAAACCAATCCATATCATTAGGTTCTCAACTTTCAATCTTCTCCTTATTCTTGTGAGTTCAACTGATCTAATAATAGGAACTGCTAGTACGTACTACTTTCCAAATTAAATACATTTAATAATACTACTATTATACCAATAATTAATATGACAACTAATACTTAGTGATTAATTTATCCAATGTGAATTCTGCAATCAAAGTATAATCTATTCTAAGACCAACTTTCTCCTTCTTTTTCCAATAAAACTTTGACAAATTCCATTTACAGTGTGAAGAACTAAAATCTATGAGTTGTTACTCTTGGAAGGACTTTGCTTAACCTTAGGCTCAGTTAAGTACTAGTTTTTCAATGTATTGCTGTGAAGATATTCAGTTGATTGAAAAATAATTAGAGATTTAATTAAAACAGATATGCTCCATTCAAATTTGATGATAATTTCTTATTATACAAACCGAAAGTTCTAGTTGCTAAAATAACATGGATGTTGGAATTTTTACAAACCAAAAAGAACGGAAAATGCAGTAATAAAACAGTACATCATCAGTCTTTAATGATTTCATTTGGATAAAAAGATGTATTTTAATTTTAAAACAAAGGCTTTTTCTTGCAATGATAATCACTTGATCACTTCCCTCGTTGTCCAATAATATATTCATCTGACTTGTAACTGGTATTAATGATTAGTCTGACATAAACTATAGTATATAGATCAAATGAAAGAATAAATAAAGCTAAGAAGACAACTACTCAATACTAATGTACAGTCTGGAGAGTCTAATCTTGGAAGGGAGACGGCAGTTAAATATTGGAAGATGATGATTGAGAGGCACTGTTCGTACAAAGTTGTGACATCATTTTCTCTCTCTAGGTTTAATTGAATTTTCTGTGCATGATGGTGAAAGATAAATTTATCTTTCAGACGTGCATATCATACAACTAATGAAACTGAATACACAGGGCCTGCTTGAAGATTGAACATCAAGCTGAGTTTTTCACCACACAACATTAATACTTTTTGTCCATTCGTAGATGAACGGATCAACAACAATGAATGGATGTTTGGTCAAGTTGACAATAAAAAGACAGGTTAGTCTTTATAATAGTAATAATAGATAATAATGAAGGTTTCTATTCCAATCATAATTATCTATCATGGGATTTTTTTTTTTTCAGTGTGTATCAGTAAAACATTTCCACTTCCATCCAAATTTAATCAATGAAACATAATTCACATATTCTGTTTTGAAGGTGAATATGATAGTAATAAAAAGACAAAAAAAGTAGTTTTGGGGGAGATAAGAGCGATTTTCAGTCATCAATGACCCTGCGGAAAGTCCAAAAATGATGTCACTTTCGTAAGTTGCTTTAAGCTTTTGACAGAGACCACAAACTATTAACCATTCTGAGATCATAATTGAGATATTGTCGTCACTTTGTGTTGTGTCCTTTAAATAGTTTGGCAGCTACAATATGCACATAAAGCTGAATTTAAATGTATTCACTTTCCTATGCTGATTTGGAGACTGATAAGAATGAGTTGGATAAGGAATAAGTTGATGGTCAGTGGGCCTATGGTCCAATCTTTATATGGGTCTTCAGCAAACTTTCTAAATCATATCTTTACGCCGCAAAACAATAAGAAAGAAGCAAGGGAACACATTCAGCAAATGCAATTTCTTGATTAGTAGATAATCTCAGTAAATTGCCCTTGGTCATCTCAGTATTGATTTCACTTATTTCATCCCTTCAGAAAAATTGAGCCATTTAATCGTCAATGTATTGTAACAAAAAGATTATAATAACATATCACGTCCTATTTCAAGTTGTATTTGTTTATAGATATTATTGGTGTCAATTGATCCAGAAGGTTGTCCATTTTATAGAAACAGTCAGAATAACTGTCATTTATCATTTTATTCATTCATGTGAGTGGGCCTCTGTGATAACGATATCCTCTAAACATTCTTGAACTTTTTAATTTAACAGAAAATATTTTTCTATTTTGAAAACGCTACATGTTTATTTTCAACTAACAAATTATTATTATCCATCGCTTAATCTTAAGGTGCAATTTAACTGAACTCTTACAAAGGAAATAATTCATAATACAATGATAGTTGCACAACTAGGGTGTCAAAATACCATAGTGATCTATATAGCTGAGGACAATATGTAATACCAGATTTTCACCTTTTATCTTAACTCTGAAGTTACGGATCATGTTGGTTACCACACGGGTTATCCAGTAAAAAACCTCAAGTATACACGGGAACGTTCCAAGTGCATGGATAGACAAAGTAAAATAAGAGGTTGCAGAGTTTTTATAGGCCAAAGGTTATCCTGATAAATTTAAAAACAACGGATCTTTAAGCATACATAATACTACATATATAGCGTAGAAAAATAGCATGGTAAGATTTTGGAGCAAAAGAATGAGTATTACTTGAGTCACTCATCACACAACGCTACTTTAAGTTCGTCAAAAACATGATCGTAGATGAAGTCCCTATCTATGTTTGGAAAACTTGGGACTGGGAGAATAATCTACTTTTGCTTGTCATTCAAAGCCTCTAGTTCTTCTCCCTTGTGTTTTGACTGAGCAGGGGCGATCTTGGTAGGGTTTGAACGCTCCGACTGTGAGAATTGAATCATAATTTGCATAAGTGCAGTAACAACTGCCAATCCAAATGCTGAAAATGCAACACCCTTCCAGGAAGATAGTAGCGAAGACCAATGTAGGAACTTTACAGACCCGGCAACAAGCAGACAGGCCCAAGATATAACTACCTGCTCCCAAAATGAAATTCATGGTTCTTTAGGAAATACATCTATAGGATTGACCAAAAATAATGGAAAACATCCATTGGCAAACGGGATAAAAAAGAAAAGAATATTTGATAAATAAGAATATTAGACATGTTGGTAAAGTATCTTACCAGAAGAGACTTCATCGGTCGACCAGTCTCCTGCAGCTCTTTGTCACTAAAAGTATCCTCAGCCATATGTTTGTCTAACAGAGCATCCTAGTTTACCAATGGGTTAAAAGGAAACTAAAATCAGTGATATTTTTTAACAGGGCACAATTATATATAGAAAAATTCAACAGTGCAAATAGAACATTGTGCACAATTATTCAAAATTTACCATTAATCATAGTTCTACAAAGTAAAAACAATTATACCACACTTACCAATATGTGGACCCAGTGTGGAAAAAATAATAATAGAAAAAAGTAAAAAAGTTCTTCTCACAAGCACCTTGCCCACAAATATATCTCGACACCATTGAGCAACGGCCTCATCTTTTTCTGGCAATCCCTTCATCAAATGCCGCTTGATATGAACATGCACCTGTGGAATGAATATGATCATCTCTTCAGCATCAACAAAATAGCAAATCTTAAATATTCCAAAGGCCAAACATGAAAGAGCCATTTAAAATTATCCAGCACCAAATTATCAGAACGGAAAACAAGAGATCTTTAAAAGAACTAGAGTTATTCAAACTCGTGCACCAGAGCACCATGTCACACCTCTTAATTATAATTTTCCTATTCAAAATACCCTAAAATACGGTTTAACAAAGAGATAAAAATCAAGAAACCTATTCCAAATTCTTCTTATAGAACTGAAGCAAAATAGAATAAAAAAAAAACAAATAGTATAGCATGAACCACTCTAATCCCGTAGCAGTTTGATAGAAACAAGTAATTTAGAATGATTCAATGAAACTTCTTCCTCTCTCAAAACTTTCAGGAATTTAAGAGACCTCTCTCTTCCTTCCAATTTCCGTCTCACAACTCTCAACTAATTTAATAAATCCCCAGTCTGCCTTTCTAACCAAATGCTAGGTACTATGTTATTAATAGAATTGGGACGCAATCCCCCTTCTAACCTTCCTCTCTTATTCTAACTTAACCTATACCCTTTTAAAAACAGAGCTCTAGTAACATCCTCCTACTTTCCCTGCCCAGAGTCCTTGTCATTGATGACCTTCTCATGGCCTCCATTTTCCCAAAGTAACACAAACATCCAAGCATTAATACTACTATACAAGTGTCAAAATCAACCAAATAAACTAACACTAAATATTAACCATTACGCACATTAAAGGCACGCACTGAGCAAGGAAATCATCATTTCATCCTATCTGAAATTCCAATTTCTAATCCACAACTGTTAATTTCAGCAGTTACATTCGCATAGGAGAATAGCGCAACACAGTAAACTTAATTAAAGCATAGGAACTATTGAGTTTAAAGAAAGGGTAAAATCATAAATGTGCTATATGTTGACAGGGGAATAACAATTCTGTCTGATATGTGGAGATTGTAAAACTGGCTAATTTTATTGCAATGGAAAAGTCGTCGGACCAAGTCAATTTTTTGTCAGTTGAGGGTGGTCCAACATCAACTTTTTTATATGCCCTAATTCCATCTTGAATTTAGGTTAGCCCTGACTTAACTCTAAGATATAGACGTAATTCCCATCTAATTTGGCCATATGCCAATTAGGATTAGGATAAGTTTGTTTTATTATCATGTTCCTGTTTTGTTATTCGAATACTTTGTACAAGTTTGGGGAAACTTTTTCACCTATTTTCCTCTCTCCTCTCTGTCTATATATTTTATAATATGTTTCAGCTGAATTAATGTAGAAAAATATCATTATTCTCCCTACTTTATACTATAATATTCAAGGACACACATAATAAAGGCAGAGAAAAAAATGAAGGAGACTTAAGATGGAGATATTTCTAAATCTTCATTTTGATTGCCTTACCACTGAAGGTTGCCCCTTGAAGAGTCTTAGCATTGTAGGTGCAGGGGAACTCTTAGGGATAGCTACTGTTACGTCATAAATGGCAGGAACAAATGAGCGCATATGACTTACTGCAGAAACAAAACCCTGAAAGAAACAAAACAGTAAATATTACATTGTAAAAATAGAAATATTTTCCTAATTTTTGTGTGATTCAAGAAATGTGAGAGCTAAGAAATAGTTTGCATATATAAAAGACTTTGTTCTGGGGTAAGTAACAATGTGTACCTTTAAAATCAAAATTTAATATTGTCACATCTATGGGTAACAATATGTCCTTAAATATACAAAGATTCCTATTTTGGAACCAAATTCTGAACTGTTTTCTTGCCTCAGTTACAATGCTTTCTATTAGAAACAATGTAAATAGGGTAGTTATGGTACGATTTTATGTTGTAGATTATTATTTAATCAAAGTAAATAAGGGAATTGTAAACCCTTGCATTTATGAGTATGACTTAATATAAATAATATCCACCGCTCAGTAATTGGCATACAGATTCCATCACGTCTATTGGGCTCTTTTTCCTTCGCAACATTTTCTTTTTGATATATTATAAAACAGCTGAAATTGCATGACTCTTGTTTGTGTGAAGCAAACAAACCCTAGACGTAATTCCCAAGTCACTTTTCTTGTTCTGTTTTATTTTCTATACCACCCTAACCTGTTTTCTACAAAAGCAAATAAGAATAACTCAAACCAACAAAATCCAGACAGTTTCTTTCGTGGGTTTTCTCTGTTGCTTTTTTAAATCAAATCCGTATTCCCAAAGGCACTGTTTAAAGCACCTACCTAAGGGACCACCCAGAAACATCTAAACTTGACCCAATAAAACCATAAACCTTATCCTGTCCAGCATTGTAGAGGGACCTTCTTCCAATTTGGTTACGGCATAATCTACCAGTGATAAAAGACGCAGCAACCAATTATATGAGATGTTCATAACTCAGACAAACACTATTTAAATTAAAAAAACTAAAAAAAAAAAAAAAATCATATTTGCTATTCTTATAGGTCAAAATCTGTGGAATTTAGATGTCGTCTCTTTAGTTGCATCTCTTGGTCAATTTCCGTGTAGCCTTCAAAACATTTCTCAAATCAATTAATTATGCCCACATGAACCTAGCAAGTTATTCTCCAATTTGAATGAATCTTTTTACAAACCCGTACCAGCAAGAGTGACATCAACCTGATAACAAGTAATGGAAGTGTAATGGAATCTCATCAGCAATACTGATAGTATTTGGAAGTCTGTACTAGCCGCTAACACAGAATAAAATTGATACCTAGACCAGATTAACACAGTGTAGGCTATAGAAGGAAGAAGACAATATATATAAAAATCACCTTAGTTCTTGGAATTAAAACATTTCTAGGAACAGGCAATCCAGTGGAAGTTGCATATTCCTGAGCAGCTAATAGTTTGGCCTGTGTAAAGCGTGTTCCTTCTACAAAGAGAGCCAACCAAAAGGGAAGAGGAAAATCACTCAGCCGTTGGATACCTGACTGCAAATATGATAACAAAATATTCAAATGAGATTCCCAAATCAAATCAAACAGCTAATGCACCGAGAGAGAAAATTTATAGCCATTAAAAATGTATTGCTGCGTAAGTAAGAAATAAGAAGACATCAGTTTGACAGCACAAGCATGTACTTGTTTCTATATGTGAGCATGAAAATAGAAATTAGTTAAATTTAAGCATGTCATACCCTTAACGTGCTTTCATCCTTGGCCCAACTTCTCTCCAGAAAAAGATACTCAGAAAACCACATTGACCAGCCAATGACCTACATATGAGCAACTTAGCCTCTATCTAAATTTGTAATTAAATAATTGAGATATCATAACTTCATAAGTAGAACATCAAACTTGTAATGCTCAACTCATGATAAGACATGATAAAAAACGAACCAAATATATTTGTGTTTGTAGAACATGCTCTAATACCTTTTATAAACTAAATGGATAAAACTAATAAAGGACATAGAGAAACTAAACATGAAAGGGGATATAGGGAAAGTAGGAAAGGAAATAAACTTTTTCTAATAATAACAAATATACAACTAGATTTTATTTGACTTACAAAATCCCCACAAGTTAGTAAGTAGATATTACTCATTCCCAATTTGCTAGAAAGTTCATGAAATCACATGTAAGGAGTCCCTTGGTGAATACATCCACCAATTGGAGTTACCATTGCCAATTTGCTAGAAAGTACATTAAGGAATCCATTGTTATCCACAAATGCCGTCCAGGTTTTATTTTGATGAAGCACCTCAATCTCTAGGTGCTTAGATCAGTCATGTTGCACGACACTTGTACAATGCTAATAGCTGAACTATTATCACTGTTGAAAGTCCCACATCGCCTACCTCATGTCATTTGGTATGGTTTAAATACATGTTAGGCTACTTCACATATTACCAATTGGTTTTATGTTGGAACCTTAACATGGTATCAGAGTCAAAGCCTAACATCTTTCCGGTTATTGTCATGGGCCAAAAGTTGCCCTTTAGTTGGGTCAAAAGTACCCTTTGCCTGGTCCGGCAGGCTTCGTTGGAGGAGGTGTGTTGAAAGTCCCACATCGCCTACCTCATATCATTTGGTATGGTTTAAATACATGTTAGGCTACCCCACGTATTGTCAATTGTTTTATGTTGGAACCTTAACATGGTATCAGAACCAAAACCTAACATCTTTCCGGTTATTGTCATGGGCCAAAAGTTGCCCTTTAGTTGGGTCAAAAGTACCCTTTGCCTGGTCCAACAGGCTTCGTTGGAGGGGGTGTGTTGAAAGTCCCACATCGCCTACCTCATGTCATTTGGTATGGTTTAAATACATGTTAGGCTACTCCACATATTGCCAATTGATTTTATGTTGGAACCTTAACAATCACAAAATACCTCATAGGATCCTCCAACTTTATCTAGAAGTCATCAAGTATGATCTTCATCCATACCTCACAAATATCTTGAGGTTATCAAGTCCTTACATCCTAGAGTAGTACGAATGAACTTGGCCTACCGAAGGTAATTATGCCCCTTAAGTTGACATGAATCGATGTAAACCAGAAAAGCAATTCAAACAATATAAGTGAAAGAGAATCGATGAAAAATATGTATTATTGATGATACTGAAGTAAAATGCAGTAGAGAAACCTCCACTACCCACAGCTGCGACGACTTCATTTCTTCAACTAACCAAATTCTCTCATATCATCCTTCCCTCATTTTCTCTCTCATTCACCCCATCATTCCTAACGGACTTCCTATTCCTCCTCAAATAAACTTTCCATACTATGAGCCTATTCAGCTGGGCCTCCCTACTGTCCAAGGGCCTACCAATACTCCCTTCTTGAGTAGACTTGTCCTCAAGTCTGAAGTCGGGAAATTGACTTTGCATGGTAAAAGTGTCCTCCCATGTAGCCTCCTGAACTGGTTTCTCCCGCCACTGGACAAGTATTTGAGACACGGAATCTCCCCCTTGGTTGTTAACTCCGGAAGCCAAGATGGGGAGAGGTTCCCAAGTTCTAGCAACAGCACTCTCAAGTTCTTTTCCTAGCTCTTGCACAATATGGTAATTTCAACAGCCTTCTTTAGCAATGAAATGTGAAACACTGGGTGGATGCCTGAAGAAGCAGAGAGTTGAAGCTCAACAACCTGAAATGGACCACAGTAGCAAGGTGCTAATTTAGGACTAATGCAGGCTTCAACAGATCGTTGAGCATGAGGATGTAATTTAAGAAAAACCCAATCACCAATCGCAAACTGCACATTTTCAGATTTGTACCCTGCAATTTAAAGAGAGCAAATAATGGCTGACAAAAATGGGCTCTCTATCACTCAAATGGAAATGGGTAGACCATGAATGTGAACCACTTCTTTGGTGAAAATTTTTGCTAAAGATCGTGCCAAATAAGGATGCTTCAGTAGAATGAAATTTTCATACTTTGTAAGACGATCCACCACAACAAAAATAGCCTCATAGCCCTTTGATTTGGGAAGTGCAATGATGAAATCCATAGACAAGTCTTCCCATGATATATGGGCAAACTTGAATTTAAAGAGTGACTAAAATGAGTGAATAATGGCTCCATATATGGGACTTCCCAGATGAGATCAGGCTTTGATACCATGTTAAATTGTATCTTAAAACCAATTGACATAAAATAAGGTTATCTAACATATATATATAAGTCACATTCCAAAAATTGAGGCAGGCAACATGGGACTCCCGAACACTTCTCACTCCACAAATGCCTATCAAACAAGGCGGACCTACTAGAATAGACAATTACCAAGAAGAGCTATAGGCTTTGATAATATATATATATATATAAGAGTACAAGTACAAAGCAAAGAGAAAGGCTTTAAGCTCTAACCCTAAGACTAGGTACATCCTAGAAACAACTATAGTAACCTGTACAATAATAACTAAAAAACAGCCTCTAAAATTCAGAGTGCAATTTATGTGATTTCTTCATGACGGTGACTAAATAAATTCATTTTGAAAGTAAAAGTCACAAGCATATACCGGCAGAAGTTTTGAAGATTTCTTCATCACAGCTAAAGTGCTGCCAAGACAACCTGAACGCTGTTGAATGATATTGAATAACCAATCAGCAGTTGAAGCAAAAAACAAACAACTATGTCACAAAAATAGAAGATCGAAATCAAGAGTAGCATTTTATTATATAATAACACGTGCACAGATAATCCTTAAATGTGTCCTTTTGTCCTAGTATCACACAATATCAAATTAGTGTTAATTTGCTTTCATTGAAGATGTGGAAAATATCAAACCATAGATGACAATCACCTGAGCTGAAACCCATCCAACAAGCCAATCAATATCACTTTTGTGATTGCTTATCACAAGCGCATGCTCTTTACCTGATTATACAAAACAGAATCAAATTATTACATGAACACAAATGTTGTCTCAGGAAGCTCCCCCTTTTTTCCTTTCTAGAAGATAAGAACACATGCACAATGCATGAATAAAGAATGAGAGAGTAAGAGTATTGTGATAAATGCATAGGCCAACAAAAGACTTACCCATTAAGTGAAAGGTCTCATGATCTGTGAATATTTGGACCTACAAACAGAAAGTTCCAAATGTAAGAATAAATTATACGAAATGCAACCGAATAAACTATTAAATTACAGTTCATAGATTATTATTTTCAAATAACCAATTTTATTTATTTGATAACATCAAACTTTCTGAAAGTATTAAAACAACACAACTGATCATGAGAGAATATATTCCTCGAATTTCATGCTATTGTAGCAATCAATCAACCACCTAACTCATTAGCATTCTTTTGAAAGGAACTGATTTCAAAAGGAGCCCTTTGAAGAATAATCCAATGGGGTTAATCTTTCCAACTGCTCTTGTGATACAAAAATAGAGAAATGCAATATCTCCTTCAGCTAAAAATTTTATTAACAAAATTGTAACAAGCAAAGGCTTCATTTCACAAGAAAATGTTCTGTCTTGGAATAAGAGACACAAAGACTTTTATTTTGAATTAAAAGCTGTATTAAAAGAATGAAAATAAATAAGCTAAATTAAATCATATTTTATGAGAAATAATATTCAGTTTCTCTCTAAATCTCTACCTCTTTCATAGTTTCTTTTTTTTTTATCCAGTTAGGTCAGTAGAAAAGGGGAAAAGTTTACAAAAGAAAAAAGGGAAGGGGGCATTGAAGTAAAAGATAACAATTCACCCCAATCATTCGGATTATAGAGCTATGTAATACCATGTCAACATTGGATCTTTACTCAACTTTTAGAACCAAAATACCTAAATATCATACTAATGATTAAATGAAATAAACATCACATTCCAATCATTCCAAGTCTAAAAGAAAAACCTATTTAATGAAAAATGGAAAAGACAATTATACGCAAAATCTCTAGCTCTGCCTATATTGCTGCTGAAAGAATCAACAAAAAGTCACTGTTTCCTTTGCTCAATTACTTTGCTTGAATATAATAAATACCTGCTAGAGCAGCTTGATAAGTCTATTCAAGTAAAAAAAAAAAAAAAAAGGAGGTGAAAGCCTTCAGAAGCTACTAGTTTTGGATTTTTGAAAACACACTAAAACATTCTGATTGAAATGTAGAAGAAAAGCACAGACAAAAGAGCCTTAATTTTGGATTTGATTCGTTTTTAGTACTGCAAAGTAAAAAACAATGCATTCAGTTATATTTCCCACTGAAATATTTGGGACTAATTATGCAACATTGTAAAGCCCATAATATCTTGTTCCTTGTAAGTCGTATATGCACAAGGTAGCCAGATTGTCCAGGTTTAATTTTACAACAACACCCATCCAAGGAGAGGGAAGCGATTACATTAAAAAGCTACATAATCCTTACAGATTTCTAGGAAAGAAATGCACTATGAGAATAATGTAGAGACCCTTCCATATCTTCTAGAATACCACATAGAGCAAGCAAATTGCATAACAAATTACACACTGGAGAATAACTAACATTTGAAGACAAAAATAGTGTCCAAAAATGATTAGATTGAAAAGGTACGAGTCTGAGTTCCCCACTAACAAAAATTAATATATCAAGCATCTAACATTTGTCTATCAAAAAATATAGTGCCCAAAAAATGCCTTTAAAATCTTCTCCCATAAGTTAACAATTAGCCAGAGAAGTTAAATGAGAGAATTTCCATAAAGCTTATATATAAGTTAGTTTTTAATTATGAGAGAAGTTTAATTTATGTTCCTTTTTTTTTTTTCTTGAGAAATTTATTCAAACAAGACTAAAGAAAAAGACAAAAAACTTAGATCTAGATAAACACCTTAACTCCTGCCCACCAATCAATAAGCCATACAAGTTCCAGCCACAACAGTTCAGCAACAAGCCGGTTGATCCGTCGGTACAAATTCTTGGACACCGGCCTTACAACAACATAGCATATCGCCTGAGACAAATTGATCAGGACGTCAAAATAATAAAGAAGTCAAACAAATTAATCGAAGCAACTCAACATCTTCCTTTTTTTTCTCTATTCATTTGCTTCACAATTCCATTTGTGGCATGAAACCAAAAAATATATAAAAAAAAAAATGCACACTTGATTTGCAATAAAGAAGAACAAATTAAAAAGAGGAAGGTTAGCATCACTCTCTAACACACACTTCCCCGGTTAAGATTCATTGAAATTTATAAAATAGATGAACTTGTTCAATGAGAAGTGAAATTTTGGAGACTTTAATCCAAAAGACTAGTTCTCGGGCTTTCACATCAAGTAGCTCAATCTACTCAACTTATACCTCATTCTACTCAATGCGAGACACCTAACATGTAACCCACTACAGTTTATGATTTCAACCATTGATAAGGAACATGGTCAAAAGAGGGTGTAAGACAGTGTATACTAGCACTTCTCAGTCATTAAATGTTCGAAATACTTCTTCCAGTCCGTATGTAGAAAACTCCTGTATGAATTTAAGAGAGTCCCCAGATGTTGGTGGAACCTCCCATTTACACGCTGATATGCAGGTATGAATCTTTTTCCATGCATAGGAGAAAAAGAAGAGAAGAGAATATGCAGTGAAGAGGCCAAAAGAGAAACCTGAATGAGATTGACAAGTAGGCCGGAAGCGAAGAAGAGTAGACCCAATGGCACGACGACAACCGCTGCAGCAATAGCCATGCACAGCACAGCACAAGGCAACACGGAGTGAAAAAGGGGATGAATGAAGGAATAAGTGAATGAGGGAGCGATGAAAATGATTTATGAATGTGTTGGATTGGGTGATTCAGATTTGGTTTGGGAGGTGAGAGCAGAGAAAGCGCAGTGAAAGGAATGGAATGGAATTTAGTTAAGAGAGGAAAAGCATGGAATGTGGTGGTTTCCTTTTCCCTCTTTGGATTCGCTATGAGAGTGAAGTGAGGCTGACGGAACCACTCACTGTGCGAGTTTCCGGCTCCCACTTGCCACCAATTTAATTAACTGCTGCACCTGTGCACTGCTGCATTATCATCGTCATCATCGCTTTTCTTTTCCTTTTTTTTTTTTGATAAAAAAATATCCCAATAATATAGTATTTAGTTAAGTTAATTATACATTTTTACTTATATTTAATCCCTTGTACAAAGTCATTAGAGAGATCTAAAATACAAAAAAAATGTATAAAATGTTTGTTCATCCAACGGATTAAAGTTGAGTGTTTGAACCGTCCATTATTAGCTAGATTAGTTCAACTAATGTACCCGTTTTTACCGATTTTAATATATTTAAAATACAGATGATGTACGTCATTTTATTTGAATTAGTGTATAATTGATTTTAAGAAGTATTCTCAGCATTTTATTTTGATTTTAATTGTTAGTTAAAGTTGTGGCTTAATTATGCTATAAATAAGTAATACATATGTTTTACTATTTTGATTTCTAAAAGTTTTTTACACCATCTTATTATGACTGAAAAACAGTTTTATATAATGATCCAATTATGAATAATTATATATTACAACAATAGCTTTAATATATTAAAATTAAATACAATTAAAACTAAACTAAATTAAAATGATAATATAGAAATAAATTATTACTTATAGTAAATGGTTGGAAGACATTTGTATAAATGCTCTGCCTTTTTCTTGTTGTTGCATAAATGAATTCAAAGTATTTAATTTGGTTGGCCAACAAATTTGGTGTGTGAGTGAAGAAGCATGGGAAATAAATGCCAACATCCACCCATCCTTTTATTTATGCATTGATGGTGGTTGGAACTTTTTATGGACTTGTTATGATTTCTCTTTCACAACAATGAACATGTCTCTACAAAACAATAACAATGGTGCTATTTGAAAGACCAAACTTCTTACCTTTATGACTATCCTAATTCATAAAAGTCCATCTAGAAAAAAAAAAAATCCTTTGTTTTCTATGTATTATTCATTTAAAAAAATGCTTATTTTAATTTAAACAAATTAATCCACTATTTATTTCTAAATAACTGTAGTCTTAGACTTCCTGGTTTATTTCCCCTCTTTTATTTTTATTTTCTCTTCCTATCTTAACTCCAAAATTGGGATAAAAGTTCAGTTTTTCTTTCCCCTAGTCAAAGCGCCCAACGGTCGAATTGTTTAAAACATCCTATTCCTACACGAACGTAAATGCCATGTTCCAACGTCTAAACGTTACACAATACTTAATAGTCCTAATTAACCATTAACCATCATACACTATACAAAGGCCAAACCTTTATCTGCTTATTTCAATCTCTTCTTCTTCTTCTGCTCAGCTTTGTCCTGCATCAAAAACCTGGGACCTTCACATTTCCATCAATTTTCCACCCTCTTCTTCCTTAATTTTGCAATTCCAATTCATCTCTCTAACTTTTTTTTGGCTTTTTAACTTTTCAGGTTCAGATGGAACCGGACAACATTGACTGGGACAACATCGATTCTACGTTCGCCCAAGACGAAGCGTACGAGAACTTTGACGCGCCTATGTGGGTTGATCTCTCTGCTTTTGATGACTCTCTCGTTGATGACGAAGTCTGGTTCTGCACTCGCGGTGAGGCTTTTTATGAGGGTATATGTGGAATTTCATTTCTCGTTTTTCTTCACCTCTTGCTGAGTTGTTTCTCTTCCACTCGCAGATTGCAAGCATCTGAAAACCGCTGAAGATTTTCTTAAACGCAGTTCCAAGGTGGCAACCTCGATTCTTGTTTCTTGTATTCTAATGAATAATTCAATAACTTAGTTTCTGGATTATTTGTTTGTAATGATGAATTAATTTTCCTTTCCTCTGTTTTATCGAGTAGGCGAAGCATTTCAGATTTGCATCCATTTCTGAAATTCTCCCCTTTAGACACAGACACCGAAGGTACCAGTTCCTATGAAAATGGGATTTAAGATATGTCGATTGATTTTAGTATGTATGTTCTAAAAATCATGATTTTAATCTTACATTTTGAATTTTAGTGGATTTTATCAGATCAAAATGAAGTATAAGGTGTTTATGATTAACCTGATTTTTTATGCTTCTGTGTTAGGGGAAATTCTTCAACTGTGGAAACTACAAAAGCCGAGTATAGTGGAAGATCCAGCAGACCAAGCTGTTCTGGAAACTTTTATGAAGACAGTGAGAACAGAAATCCAAACTTTACAGCTCCACTTCCCAATGGTAGTAGGACCAACAAGTTGAAGAGGCCATTGATCAAGACAAACAGTGCCAATCAAAAACCAAAACAGTTGAATACTGGTCCAGTGGAGAGTCCTTTGAAAAGTCACCGAAAATCTCAGCTGAAGAGTACTTTCTCTGCACAAAATTTGATAGGTGGCAGAGAGATTCTGAGTCAGATCAGCGGGTTCTACTCTGAATTGAAGAGGCTAGCAAGAGGGGGGAAAGGGGCAAGTGATAAAGGTGGAAGTTCAAGTGGGGTGTCAGTAGAGGTGAAGGAAAGTGGGGTACAAAGGGAAAGGGTACCTCTTGTGGTCAAGGACTCAAGGGAAAGGGTACAACACTCTTAAGAAATGAAGATTAAGTAACGAAGCTTTATCTGTTATATAGGACTTTTTTTTTTTCATAGTGAAATGGTGCTATAATCATCCATTTCATGGGATTTTTTGGTAGTGAAATGGTGCTATAACATAAGATTTGAATTTTTTATTTTGATTCCGTTACATAGGATTTTGACAGTGAAAATGGTGCTATAATTATGCATTCATTTCAAAAACTCAATTGGATTTTCAGAGTTAGTGTGATAAAAAGTTCATGCCTGGACCTGAGGAGTTTTGAAGGAACGTTCATGACACTCCCATTTTCACCTATTTGAATAGATACGATTCTTGGTTGCATATACCATACAAAATTATTTATTTGATTTTTTCATTTTTTTTATTTTAAAATGATTGTTTTTAATTTTTATAAATTTAAATTTTAACTTTCATTTTATATAAATAATATGTATATAATGTATCGATGAAACATTACATTTATATTAATCGAATCATACAATAAAAGAGATAAAAAAAACTAATTTTATATTTTTGAATGAGAAAAATAAATTAAAAAAAGTTAGATAAATTAAAGTTAAAAACAGTTTAGTTTAGTTTTTATTTTGAATACAAATATTTGAATTCAACAACATAAGCTAAAATAGTTAATTTTATATAGACTCAAAATATTTAACTTAGAAAAATGAGGTGGATATATTTTCTTAATGTTGTTACCATAGATTAAAAGTGTTTAACTTCTCATCTTGTTTGTGGAGTAGGTATGTACTAAAGTGAAAGAAAATTGATATAAAAATATGATTGAATGAAATAAAAATACAGGAAATATTAAACTTGTTTATATAGGAATATCTTATCATAATTATTTGATATGTATGAGATATTTTATTCTTATTTATTAAGTATATATAGGACATTTTGAGGTGATTTTTGTGTATTTAAGACGAATTGTTAGCTGAGTATCTCAATATTATAAGTATGTTCGGATATTACAAAATTATTATTTTTTTCAAGTATATTAGTAGATATGATATTAAACTATTTTAGGGACACTTAGATACATTTAATATAACTTAAGTGATTCATCAACTTAGATAATTTATAATTAAATAATAATACTTTTTTTACATTATTAAAGTATTTTAATTTTTATATTATTATTTCTCTCCATCATATCAATACATGTATCAAATATGATAATAAATAAGGAGATGATGAGTTTTTTTAAGTGGAATTAGTTTTTATGTTAAGATTATGTTATCAAGTCTTTATTATTTTTAAAATTTATACTTAAATTTAAATAAAACTAAATATGTAAATTTTTATTTAAAAAATATAAAATATTTTTTTTATAAATGTTAGATTATTAATCCATTAATTTTTTTGTTAATTAGGTATTTAAACAACAACCCATTACACCTTCTTCTATTTTCCTTAAAAATTTTACCAATAAACAATTTTGTAACTCCTTTAAACATATATTAAATCTTATAAGAAGAGAGTTTTAAAATCTAACAAATCTCATTCCCATAATTACGTGGAGATAACATTTAAATCAATATTAAAGATCTTAGGATAAATTTTAAACTTTGCTCTTGATAATATTTTAATCATAATAACTCCATTATTATCCATATAATTTTTTACTAACTCCAACAAGTTAACATTTAAATCATGTTGTACCTCATAGTACTTTACATCAATATGTTTAGATTTTACATTAAAACTCGAAGTCAACTAACCTCTTGTAAGAATTTATTCACCCATAAAAAATCATATTGTTGACTTTACTGATGAAAATGAATGTTACCTCTTAAATAGACAAAGATACACACTTTTACAACCTAGATTGTTAAGTTGTAGCTTCTCTTGGAAACTTAATCAAACGGTTTAATACAAACATTTATGAATCAATATCACTAGTCATATCTAAATTCAAGTACCCCACCAAAATAAGTGTCTTATCACCAAAATAATATTTCATGTCAATAGTACTATGAAGAAATTTTAAAATTCATTTCACAATATTTTATTAGTTTTTTACATAAATTTGACAAAAATCTATTCATTGTACCCACATGTGTTATATATGATTTTGTACACATTTTTGCTTACATCAAATAACCCACACAAATGCATAAACACTACAAGAAAAACATCAAATAGTGACCGAAAATTCGGTCACTAAATCTGCAAAATCTAAGCTACTAATTAAAATAGTGACCGAAATAGTGACCAACCGGAATCGATCACTATTTCCTTGGTCACCGATTTTAGTGACCGATTCATGACCGATTTGGTCCGATTATATATAACCAAATCGGCCACTCGAATCTAGTCACTAAATCAATGAAAAAGTTAATCAATAACAAATTTAATTCTTTTTATTTATTTACACTTTTATTATATCTATTATTTATTTTCCCTATCTCTTAATTATATTTTGCTTATTTAAGTTTTTATTTATATTTATTTCCCCTATCTCTTAATTTGATTATATTTTTTAGAAGTTTAAGTTTATTGTCATTGTCAGGATTCGAACCCTAGTATCTTAGAGTCGGAGGCTGAAACTCCAACCACTCGAGCTACTAGGATCTTTTAATAATAACTTACAAATAAATTATATTTATATACAAATAAATGTATATCCGTATAAATATATAAATATAAAATCTATAAATAAAAATATATTTATATATTTTAATATATAAAATCTACAAATAATGGTATATTAGTATAGTATAGTATATTTGTATTCTAATTTTTAATTAAATTAAAATTATGCTAATAATGTATATTAATATATGAGGGGATAATATTGATATATTTGTATATATATATATATATATATATATATATATATATATATATATATATATATTATATATATTTATATACTGATATATTTATATATTTATATATTTATATCTATATATATATATATATATTTATATATATTGATATATTTATATATTTATTTATATCCTTATACATTTATATCTTTATATATTTATATATTTGAAAAAAAATATTAAATTTTAAAAATAATATTATATTTTTAAAAATAAATATTAGAAAAAGATTTAAAAATATATATAAATTATATTTACATTTACAAAATATTAAAGATATATGTTTATATCTTTACATATTTATATATATTTATATGTTTATATTTTTACATATATTTATATCTTTCCATATTTATATATTTATATATAAAGATATTAGTTTTGTATACAAATAATATTATAATATAGTATATTATACTATTAGTATAGTATACAAATAATATGTTAGTATAGTATAGTATACAAATTATTAATTTTGTAATTTATATACAATGAAAATAATATAATGGTATATTGGTATAGTATATTTGTATTCTAATTTTTAAATAAACTAAAATTACGCTAAATGTATAATAATATATGAGAGGATAATAAATTTAATCCAATTACTTTTATAAATATATAAATATAAAATCTATAAAATATTAAAAATGATATTATATTTTTAAAAACAAATATTAGAAAAAGGTTTAAAAACTAGTATTATCTTAAATTTATTAAAAGTATAATTAAATCTCTATTTTCTTAAATTTTTTTTAAACTTCTCAATTCTACATTTTTGTAAGTTCTATCATTATATTATCATCCTCATCTCCTCCCATGTTCTACTTTATCTTTACAATAGTCAATATTCTTAACTAATTTATAGTTTTAATTATAATTTTTTAGTATATATTTTGAAATTAATCAATTCTAATCTATTATTTGCAAAACTAATCAATTCTAATCAATAATTTAGAAAACTAATCGATTATAATTAATTATTTGAAAAAATTATCAAATATGATCGATCATTTCGAAAATATAATCGATCGGAATCAATTATCGCTCGAGCGAGACTAGACTCGCTCAAGCGAAATACAACCCGAGAGTACCAATTTTGTGTAGGGGCGTCTCGCTCGAGCGAGAAATTTGTCGCTCAAGCGAGAAACAGCTTAGATAGCGGTTACACAGAACCGCTCTTAAAACTCACTTAGATAGCGGCTAACAGCTTGAACCGCTATTATATGGTTTCAATTATGATCGGTCGTAATGCAATTATGACCGATCATAACTATTTTAATCGATTAAATCTAGTTTCAATCGATTAAAACAATTTCGTACAAACGATTTTAATCGATTAAAACTTATTTTTATCAGCTTAAAATAACTTAAAAACTTATATTAACTATTTTTTTTATATTATGTTTTTAAATTTTCTATTAGAGAAAACCTTTCAGAATTCAAAATGTTAAATACTTTTAAATATTAAAATTAACTTTATCAAAAATTAGGAAAAAAATTAATCCAAAACAGCTTCAAAAATGTATTATAATATTGTCAATTTTGAGTTTAATTATATTGTTCATTCTCAAAGTAGAAAAATATATTGTAATTATTTTAATTTAATAAAATATAATTTAAAATTTTAATACTAAAATTAAAAGATTAAATAATGATAAATTTAATTCTTTAAATTCAGTAGTTAGAAACTAAAATTATAGTTTCTCTGTTTTAAATAATTAAAAAAAATCAAAACTAGTATTATCTTAAATTTATTAAAAGTGTAATTAAATATCTATTTTTTTAATTTTATTTGTTTCAAACTTCTCAATTCTACATTTTTGTAAGTTCTATCATTATATTATCATCCTCTTCTCCTCTCATGTTCTACTTTATCTTTACAATAGTCAATATTCTTAACTAATTTATAGTTTTAATTATAATTTTTTAGTATATATTTCAGAAATTAATTAATTCTAATCTATTATTTGCAAAACTAATCAATTCTAATCAATAATTTAGAAAACTAATCGATTATAATTAATTATTTGAAAAAATTATCAAATATGATCGATCATTTCGAAAATATAATCGATCAGAATCAATTATCGCTCGAGCGAGACTATACTCGCCAAGCGAAATACAACCCGAGAGTACCAATTTTGTGCAGGGGTGTTTCGC